ATCTATCTATCTAATCTATCTATCTAATCTATCTATCTAATCTATCTAATCTATCTGATCTATCTATCTATCTATCTGATCTACCTATCTATCTATCTGATCTATCTATCTATCTATCTATCTGTCTATCTGATCTATCTATCTGTCTAATCTATCTATCTATCTATCTATCTTCCTACCCATCCGTTCCATCTGTCTAATCTAATATACTAATATATAATCTATAATCTAATTTAATCAATAAAAAAATCAAAACATCCATCTGTTTCTCTACTTACATACACACCTAATCTATCTGAACTATCCATTCATCCATATTCCTTCAACCTCCAATGCGACGAAAGCAAATCTGTCAGAGGGATAAGAGGAGAAGATCGATTTTTAGTAGGAAGTGTTGAAAGAGCAGAAATTGCAATACCCGTCCTGAATAATATGTGTATCTTAGGCCACTCCTCGGTATAATTGTCATTTCTCTTTCTCCTCTCCTTCCAGTGCATTCTTGTCACACATTTTCAATTCCAATTTTCGGAAGTAATCAAAACCAGCACTTTTTCAGTTAACACACTGTGTTATCTACGTAATATATTCAATGCTAAATAATTCTGCTTCTGTGCTTTATATAAAATGAATTACCAGTTACCTATTACTTAATTAAATGGTACACTCCGTTTGATCATCAAAACAATGTATGTATAATAAAAAAGATTTTATCACATACGAATTCTCAAATTTAAATGAATTTCCTAAGTTTAAGAGTCAGAAATCCACGATTTAATGGCTTACTTCTAAAAAATAATAAAAATCTCGAATCTATTTTTATTTCCTCATATTTTAGATGGTATTCTTATATATTTCTTTGTAGCATTGTTCCTTAGGGAATCTTAAAATCAAATAATTTTGTTACATTTCCAAGCATACTTTACTCACAGATATTCTGAGTTACTGATTAATATTTCTATGATTCAACATATATTTGATGGTACGTAGAAAGGCTCAGTTATTCCATTAGCGTCATCTATTGCTTTTTCCACCATTGGTTTTTGATTTCACCATATTTTACAATTTTGGAATCGAAACTCCATTTCTCATTAACTTTGGATGTTTTCATTGAATTAAAAACTTTGCACTCAAGTTTCAAAGATTGCAAAAGTCTTCAGGTTCATGTATGAGATTTATAAAGATGGTTCCTACTGCCTAACATTTCTTATTGCTCCCAATAGTGAAGCATGCTGGAAATCTTTATTCAAGTCCATGGCATTAAATGTCACCAGACGAATTCAAATCAAAATTGTCGATTGTTTGATGAACGAATGATTAACAGTTGATCGGAACGTCTTCCACGGTCGATGATACATACAGCTAATCTAACAGACATACTTCCTGATGATTTATTATAGATAATTCTACACTGTTCGTGTTGAAAAGAAATATGAAATTCGCGCTATTTGTTAAGCTCAAAGATTCGTACTGATTAAGAAAGAAAATCTGGTTATTGAGAGCATTTCGTTAGCTACACAAACTGCAAGACATATGCTAAGGTTGCTATAAAAGTTTATGTTGTTTTTTTAGCAAAGGAATATTTTAAATCATATGCTTCATTATAAATTGTTTCATAGCATTCATTCTTGTCTGCTGAAAAATTTAAGCATTTTTAGAGGTTAAATTAGTTTTAACCTTTTCAGCACATTCCACCACAAAAACATTTCAAGTTCAGCAGTTACAAAAACACTTCTCTAATATGCCCAAAAATCATTTTTATGCATTCTGGAACATTTTGATGTATTGCTGTCAGGTATTGTCACTTCTGTGACAAATAGTTTCAAATAACTGTAAATTAAACATTAAACTATAATATGCGTATATTTACATAAAAAGAGAAAGGAAAGCTAATGAAACTAACTTACTCCGAATGAAACATGGACTAAAACGATTTGTTTTCATGCAAAATTTGCAAATTGACAAACAGAACAAGACCGAAATTTGATTTTTTGGAAAAAAAATTTTAAATGTGTGTTAGTCAAAGATTCAAAAAGGAGTATGACAGTGCAGGAAAAAGAGGAAGGAAACAGAAGTTATTCAATTGTCATGTATAAGTATGAAGGAAAAAGTTTGATCTTTCTTTTTTCATTTATAATTTGGGCTCAACTGTTATAATTTCAATGAGATAATCTATATTATAACACTATGACTCTTCATTACTTTTGCAAAGCAAATTTAAATACTATGAACTTCGTTCGCACAATTATGAATTTTGTTATACTCAAATCTTATAAATATGGAACATCCATTGTCGTCCAATGAATGTTCTATATTTGGTGTGTGTTTACTTGCTTGCAATCATTTTCGACTGACTGGCTTTGGCTTAGTTTTATGCCATCTTCCTTCAAAAGTTATAATTTAACTCAAAAAATAAGTTAGCTTACACCTTTAGAAATGAATAAGTTAGCTTATTCATTTCTTAAGTTGTAAGCTAACTTATTTCAAATCAAGATTACTGACTAAAATTCTCGACAATTGTAGCCAAAACGATACGACTACTTCAGGATGAAAAATTTGCGATAAGATGATGTGAGGTTAATGAATTAAATTTATCATCAGATTTAAAATCAGGAATCGTAAAGTATGTTATCTTCAATCCGGAAGAATTTAGTCTTATTATGAACCCATAAAAAGGATTTAATTTAACCATATGCTTGACTGTATAAATGTTTGAGTTATTCTACAGAACGCCTTAATTTCTTATTTAAGCTGACATTTTAAAGTTTAGGTATCATTTCCAATGAGAAACGATCCGCAATGATGTGTGAAATAATTTACTGTAAAATTCAATTTGCTTGAGAAAGAAAATTTATATTTTGAATGCAAAAAAAAGAGAAACGGAAAAAATGAATTATCGATGCCATAGTCATTTCGTTTACAACTCCTCTAATTTCTTGCACTGCTAGACGATTAACGGTAGAAAAATCCTGACCGCTCTTGATCTTCTTTGGTTTAGTCAGTCCTTTCGTGATCAAATAACAGATTTGTATTTACATTACAACAAAGTTGGTTTGGATGGTAGCAAAATCATCGTTTTATTTTTTATTAATGACGATCTGTACGTGAATTTATTATTTACATATTTTAAATCTTAGATACGAATTTTCTACTCAATACTTACCAACATTGCATTGCATCCGTTTCACACATAAACTAACTTTGTTCTTTGAGAAAAATTTATTTTTCGGTTATTCAATTTTACTGGTATTTTAATCCGAAGTGCATGTGGTCAATAGGACACATTTGAAGTAGTTCAATAGTCACTCTTCCTTTTCCATCCATCCCTTCTTTCTCTTTTTCTGCAGTCAGTTAAGTTCAAATGAATAATTCAGACGACATCTTTATCCGATCCGTCCATTTCTCTTCTCCTACTCATTTTTTTTACAGTATTAACAACAACTCAGCTATGTTCATTAAATAAAAATGCTATATATACATGTACACATCTTATCTCCTTTAAAACTTTCAAAGTTTAATTTGCTTTTACTATACAAATTTCCCAGTTCATTTATCAGTTATTTGAGCTGACTACATAGATTTTAATTCTTCCAACTTCTCCCCATTTTTTTTTAAAAATTTCTGGGATTTCGATGCTTAAAAGTTTTCGCTGTTGGAGACTATATGTGAGTTTTACTTATATCTGAAGTTTTGTTGAAAATCACAAAAAATGGACATTATTCATAGATAATAAATAATGGTGGACGCTGCGAACACTGAAACAACGCCTGCTACTTCAACATTTCTTGGCCGAATTTTACAGGTACTTAGTTTGATAAAAAAAGAAGATAGGAAAAATATTACTTTTAGAAATTAATGGTGAAGTTACTGGAATGCTGCTAAAATTTTTGACTGTTTCATGATAATATATATCTTTCATCTTCGATAAAATTATCTCCACTCAGTTATCTCACTTTTTGTCTTTTTTATCAATCCATTAGACCAACCATTCAAAGATGTTTAGTGAAAATCAGGACGATAATTTGCTCCGAATCTTTTGATTTTATGTGAGCCATTATTATAATCTCGACAATATCAAATTGTATTGTTTAGTTATTCCTACTTCCACAATTTGATCTAATTCAATCCCACAGTCTGATTTAAATTAATGCTGCCGCAATTAAAAAATTAACTAGTCTATGGAATTGCTATTATTTATCACCAAACAGCGAAATCCTTCCTAATCGTCGTGTTCAATCGTTTTTCGTTTGTTCTATAAAAAACACAACAGCATTTTTGTCTTACCATTTTTAAACTAACTTTCTTCAAAGGATTCCTTTTCCAAAAAAAACTCGGACGCTGAACGTTAGCCTTATTAGATCAACTACGATGAATCGAAATTTAAGTTTGGGAGAAACTTGGATAGTGCAGTATTTTAAAACATGGAAATTGGATTTAAAATTATTGAGATTATTAAAAATCAGGTTACAGTATTGGTGGGAGTAATTAGAATACATATTGTCTTTATTTTTTAGATCCATCATCCTTTAGCATATATTATTTCCCAAAATACAAATTGATAACAGCCTGTTAAGATTGCTTTGGGCATATTCGTGACGACCTCTGATTTACCGCCCTATAGTTCAAATGAAATTGACATGACTGCAGTTGGCTACAATTGCACGTTCGATGATCCATGCAGGTGGTTTTCTGAAGGTGCTACAGCAGATCGCTGGAGAAGAGCTCAGGGTGAACCGGATCTATTTTTATGGCTTGCTTCTACGGGTACTATTCAGCGACCAGGTTTATTACTTTTTTACGAGTTTTACCATAAATTTGAGGGAATAGTGTTTTGCCAAGATGTAAAGAAACCAAACAATATCTACTTTCATATTATTTAAGGAGGACCATTTGCCCTGATTGAACTTCGTGGGCAACAAGCAGATCGTTTTTTAAGCGATAAAATACAATGTCAAGATGGCACTGTTTCACTGTCATTTACTTACTGGATAGTAGGTGCGATATTTTTCAATATTCAAATAAATTTAGTTAAAAGTATTCGTTTCTTTTTTCTTTTTCTAACACAATATAAGAACCTGCAAAAGGTAGAACAAATAACTTTTTTAGTCTGAATTCCAAATTTAGCTACAGGTGATGCAAACCTGAAGGTTTGCTTGGTCGATTCATTGGACAAAAAATTCAATTGTACAGCTATGCTGGGTGCACAACCTATGCCAAGAAAAGTTTTGCTTTCACTACCGCAAGTGCAGAAGCCATTTCGAGTAATGTCTGTAAAACTTAATTTATCTATAAACATTTTAATTTTTACTGAAATTCATTTGCAATCAATCTTTTCTTTCATTTATGTTGATTATTTGTTTGTATTATAGATCGCTGTTATACCGAATATAGCCATTGGAATGATCGCAATAGACGATATCGAATACAGTGGAGTACCATGTCAACGAGAAATTTCCACTATTACTCCCATCCCTTCCATAGAGAGCGAAAATTTCAATTTTTCTCAAGTAAGGATATACGGGATTTTTTTTATAAAATTTTATAAAATTTCAATTTTATAAAATTTCCGTAAAATTTATAGAATTTATGAAAATTTTAAAAACTTATCTTCGGTCTTCACCTGAAAATTGTTGAAATGAGCAAAATATACCGTTCCTCTTCAATTATTTTTGAAAGTCGTGCAAATATAAGAATCCTTTCTCTCGGAAATGTGATGAAACCTAAATTACTTTTGTACTTCTTACCTTTTTCTGTGTTCAATTTAGTCACACAGGAAATGTTAACATTCTCAACAAGTATGGAAGAGTGTTTCGAGAAGAAATTGTAGAATTCAAGATATGAAGTATAAGATATCAATTCTTCTTTTTCAATAGTCAATTCATGGCTTCAGTTTGATACTACGAGCTACATCTTAGTCGCAAATTAGTTTTTATTTTCTATGTTTCTTCCAATTTCAACATATTAATAATTTATAAATATCAATCCTTCCAACAGCCCTTCTTATAAAAACTATGCTGCAGTACAAAATATATTTGCAGCCTGCGATTAGCCATAAAGGCAACGGTTATTAGATGGCTTATAATTTCATATTTTGTAGGAATATTTCGTTATAAAATCTCGGATTGATGCTGACATGCATATCAAGATATAATTCTAATTAAAAAAGCTTTTTTTTAGATAATGTTTTGTATCTTTTTTAGATAATGTTTTGTATTTTTTTGAATAATTGAATATTTGTTTACTGTAGATGTAACGAGTAAGCAAAATAGCTCGCGAACTGTTCAATTTATAAGGAGCTGATTTGAGGAGCAATGAATCCATAAAAAGAAAATTCGAATCCTGTTTTTTCTTCTAATGATTAAAATACCAAATTCTCACTCTTTTGAAAATTCTAACCAAAAATATTTGTACTGATACATTAGTAACACTGATAGCAGTAACAGAAATACCAGCATCAATTTTGTGCAGTTATCAACATTGGAGGAAAATTTCTATATATGATAATAATAATTAATTCAATCTGAAGGTAGACAATTTCGAAAATTTGATATGATAGGCTGAAAAATAATTTCAGTTTATTTTTTCAGAATTCGTTTTGCTCATAGTTAGCACAAACTCTATATAGATTTTATAGCTATTCAATTAAAAATTCATGATGAAGTATGACTCAATATTCCTAAAAGTTAATCGGACATGAGATACTTCAACGGCCATTCTGTTTAGATAACCGTCGAAGGGATGACGTTCGGTGCAGAAGGTACAGGGGTCACTATAACTTCATCGACGGAACCTACGTAAGTGTACCGTCCTTCCTGCGACTTTAATGTGAATTAAAAAACTAGAAACACTTTTCTTTTCAATTTTGCATTTTGATTTAAGCCTGGCAATTGAACCAACAGAGCCACCATTTGATTTGCTAATTATTGGGAGCAAAACGATTCCATTCTTCGATCATCGCAGAGGACGCATTATTGGCAATAACACGATGCTGCTCTGCGATTTTACTAATAATTTCCTTTGCCTTTGGGGTCCTGAAAGTGGTCGATGGGGAATCATTCAAGAAGGTTTTTACATATTTTTAGAAAATTTCATAATCTTTTGCAAATGAAGTAATTACAACTTAAACTTTTCATTCAATTTCTTTATACGAACTCTACAACGTGGTGTGACATAATGGCTTAAAAAGATTAATTGCTATTAACAAAGTTAATCTCTTTCGGTCCATTAACTGGAATTATTGTTGACTATGACTACTGTGTTAAAAAAGGAAATCAATCCTCTTCTATATGATTTTCGCCAGACAAGAAGCATTGCGCCACCTGCTTTCGATTTTCATTTGTGAATCGTTTTCAATTTTTTTGAGCATCTTTAGAAACACAATTTTCTTCAAAATAGACTGGAGTGATAACGCAGTTTATTTTTGTTGATTCAAAGTTAATGCAGGTGCGTTACCTTCGTTGACCATACCAGATGGTTATCCAACTCCATCATATCCCGTAGCTATTGTTATTCAAGGAACAGCAATGTTGACAAGTGATCCGCTAAAATGCCAAACTGGTTCAGGAAAGGTAACCATACTTTTGTCAAAGAAATCTTTTACTATTAAAATACTACTTTAAAGGAATTCCTTACTGTATTAAGTATATGAACGAATAAATTTTATTGTGCCTTGGTTGTCGAAGTATTGCTTCATGTCTTTTAATGTACGCTATTGTGAATATATCATTATTGTTTCAAAAATTCCTCAAAAAATTCAAAATTATCGTAACTGACACTGCGATTGCTTCGTTTTAACTTTTTAAAATCATGAAAATTTATACTCAGTTGATGTTTCGACATTGGACGAGTGGTTCTCCAACTGTACAAGCTTGCGTGATTGGCTATGGTATTGGAAGCAAAAAGGTGGAATGCATAGGAGCAAGTCAGGATAATGAAGCCGCTGATGACAAATCTCTCTTGGTCTTCTATTTCAAACAACCAATTCTGGAACCATTTACGGTTTCTGTTGCATTTTGAAGCTCAAAAAATATTTTAAAGAATTTGAAAGGCACAATTAAGATTGAATTTGCAGCTTAATATTATTCCACAATGGGACAACACAGCACGGAATCAGTACTTAATTATCGATGAAATTGCTTATTTTGGAAACTGTAATACAAAAAAGCTCAATGAGGAAATCAATGAAGGATTTTTGACCGTGCAAAATAGCAACTGGTAACTGTTGTAATGCCCCGTTTTAACTAATGTGTAATTTCCATATTTTTTCGTACTTTCTAGGACCAGACCGAGAACTTATGGAAATTTTGTTTGGAGTACCGAAAAACATAACACTGGATCTCCACGAAAGAAACAGAATGAAAAAATTTCAAAAAACACATCCATTCCAAAAACAAATTACTCAGAATGGAAAACTTTACCACCTATCATAACTTCTGATCAATTATTGATAGATTCTACGCATTCGGATTACTGTAAACTGCTCAATTGTAATTTCGAAGGTCCGTGGATACTTTCACTCTAATCGGTGTATATTATCCAAATTTTGGCATGTCTAATTTTGATTGACAAATCCAATAGTTAAGATATTTCCTAAATAACTTTATGCAAATGTATGCCTAAAACTTTGTATAACAGACAAAATATAATGGCTTAGGTGTTATATTGTCACAGATTAAGCTCATAAAATAGTTTTTTAAAAAAAGCTTACTTAAATGGCTTGAACAAAGTTTCCAATATGGCAAACGAGAAAGGTATAATAATATAAACGATAACAAGATAGCTCAAAGTAAATATTAAATATATCTTAAACGGTTAAAAGAAATGTCCAAACTAAGAAGAATAAAAGATGCATGAAAAATTGGTATGCTTCTTTACTAGAACTGAGTAAATGGAGTTATAAATAAGTTTTGAAATCATATTTAATTATATATGATGTTACTAAATAAATCACTCAGTTCTAAGATAGATGTTAATTACAGAAAACGCATGTAATTATTTGAATCATGGACTTACAAAGGTTCCATGGATGTTGCGAAGTAGTGGCTACGAAACGACTATTTTAAAATCCATTGATTTACTCCCATGTTAGCTTTTTTGCTATAACTTGAAGAAATGGTTTTGCTAAATTGAGTTACAAGTCACAAGCAAGCATAGATTTCAAGAATCAGCGAAGATACATGTGCTGGATAAATCACTGTTAAGGATAATTTCTCAAATACACACATAAAAGCCAAACGATATTATTCTCTAAACAGGTTACCGTGATAATTGAAAGCTAATATTTCTTATGGAAAATACATTAATCAGGCGAGCTCTTTCAGCCTATGAACATTTACCAATGTTTCAAGGGGCTTAACTTTAAGCTTTAACAGATTTCAGTTTCACCAAATGATCAATACATCAGCACAAGGTTACCGCCCGATCAGTATGCCATATTAGAGTCACCACGATTCAAAGCTACATCAGAAATAAATATTATTCTATTCCAGTACTACAGGTAATACCAACATTTCGCTACTATGACCTTTAGTAATTGTTTGAAATTGAATAAATAATGAGGTTTATTTATAGGTCATCATTTTATGCAACTATTCGATTATGTCTGAACAGCTGTTCTGTCTATCTGTACAAAAATGCATCAGTTTTTACCCAATGTCCGTCATTAATTCCGGGAACACAGTTATCCAAAAAAACGCATGAATGGTATACTGCTAGAATTCGGCTTCCAGTAGGCACTACTCGTGTTAGTTTTTCATTTTTTTTTAAAAATTATTTTTAACCTGGTTAAGCAATACGCCTTTAAAAGAGTAATTTACTAAACATTTTTCGACTTTAGAAAATAAAAACTAACAAAATAGTACTATTTTACAGTTTTATTTGGTAGCACAAAATTCAAATAAATCGACTACTGATGCTGTGGTGGCCATAGACAATATTAAGCTGCCAACATGCAGCTCGGAAAAAGATGCAACAGTCGACATGAATAATACTTCCTAGCAGAAATCGCCAGACCCTTTCATTCTAACAGAGCTAGTCGATGATTTATAAACACTGAAATTTTTGTTATACTATTTGCATATATTTTTTGAAGAAAACCTGTTGATGTATTTGGAGAGGCAGGAAAAAAGGAAAAGATTTTATTGTTGTTTCATTTTTTTAATAGTAAAAGTTGAAAGAACACCTATCTCATATGCATTTTTATTCAGACTGTTTTTTTTAATACATATAACGCTTACTTGAAAGTTTTGCAACTTCAAAAGGCCAGTTTAATCTCGAAATCTTTACCAAATCAGTCAAGTTCAATAGTTCATAAAAAAGTTTTATTTTTTACAATTTCGAAGCAAAAAAATCTCAACTACAAAGATATTCAGCCTGTATCCTTTTAAAATCTTCATATTAAAAAAGATGACAAATAAAAAATATGATTCAACACAAAATAGACACAACAGATAATTATTTGAAACTATAACACTGATATTTTCGATATCTAAGTCAACACTGAAATCTTATTTTGAATGCTCCCGTAATCTTAACAAACTGACCCCCAGATCCCCGAGCCGTAAGAATCATCAGAGATGAAAATCATCATCTTCATTCAATTTTATGTAACGCATTTTGACGACGAAAATAACACGAAATTGGGGCAATAATATGGAAATAAGGTAATATTCTAAAGACTTCTAATTAACAAAATAAAAGCGATGAACATGACTGTGTTAAAGTTAAATAATGTAGCACTTCGATGTTTAAACGTTTACATATTACACTCACAGTACAACAATCGTACAGATCGTTAAAAGAGCTTTACAAAAAATGGATTAAAAATTACAAACCCAGTATTTTTCCGATCCTTCATATCAATGTTTCACGGAATTTTCTGAACAGTAAAAATGGAAAACTCTATCCTGTTTTCATACTGCTGTCACAGCATCATATTATTTAAAGGTAATACCCAATTAATAAGGTAATAAGTGATGAATGTAGTAACTTAGTGAATATCAGAGGCAAGACCAATTAATATTACAAAATCACGTGCAGTCATAAAGACTGACTCCTTAGTGATTGTCTGATCCGCGAAACAAACTTGTACTCTCATAAAGTATAGAGGAAATCGAAATATATGACCAAACATATCCTCAATCAGTAACATTTTCTTCCAGATTCTTTTTAAGATACTACTAGCGCGTGCTATAAAAACTAAATTTCCATTGAAAGAGGTAATCAGATACTTCATGATAACCGTATTGGAAGGATAATAAACACCCGGATCGCTTTAATGAAGTAAGGACAGGAAGGTTAGTAGTAGCTCTCATCTCTTGAGACTTTCGAAGGCTGCGAAGCATTCTAGTTCGAACGGGTTCGGGATCGACTTTCGAAAACGGGTGTGATGATGGGAATGCTAATTAGGTGAATTTAAGGTCATGATGAGTATGGTTGGACGAATTACATGCGGCGTGGTACGTCAGCGACAAAGTCCACTTTTCTCAACGCTCTATTTCCTGTTGCAGAATCGAGATTAAAATATTAAATTTCAGGCAACATCGGCACATTTGTTCGAAGTTTCAGCATGTCATCCTCAGAATTTAATTCAGATGGGACCAAACGGACAGTTGATCGGACTACGACATCGACGAACAGAGGGACATGCCTTCAGGATTCTCGGAATGAACCAACTTCTTCGGGTTCTGATACTTCCTGTCACCAGCCTTCGAATCATATCTGCGTTCTTCACACTGGTAGTACTTATTTTTGTTTTCATTCAGCTGCAGTACATATTATTTGACGTTATAAAGCACACACATTGAGTAGCGTGTTACTGATACGGAAATATTGTGAAAGCATAGGTGAAGCTACTACCTATGTGATGATCAGTGACCAACATAAACTGTAGTATCTATTGTCACGACTCGTATGCTGTGCAAATTTGTCGAAATTTTATTGGCATGACTAAAAATGTATCTTGTCTATTTTTGACTAAGAAGCTGTTATTTACATATTTTAACTAAGAAACTATTATTTAATTAAAATACGTCTTTTGGTAATAACTATTTTATGAATAATATTATATTGTCAGGAAATATGCACCAGAATAATAATGAAACTACTTCAACTAATTCTGCTCGTCCTACCGAAGAATTAATAGTTGATCCAATCCACATTCCTCCACTGGGAAATATGAACCAGAATAACGTACATTTTGAAGATGTAAGTTTAAAATAATGGATGTTGAAGTTGACTTTGTATTGTTGAAGAATGTTATCTGACGAAATATGTCAATAGTTTGAGAGTGCTCAAGGCTGTTCTAGGCATGTTGTGCTGTATTTTCCGTAACATGGAGTTTTTTTATCTCATAGTAGAAGCTAGTGACTTAGGCTCAGTATGTAAAAGTTATTGTAATCCAAGTCATTAAAAACAGTGAAGTGCAAGTGACAGTTGTGCTACTCAATAATTATACAAATTAGGATTTGTCGGAATCGTATGTCGAAGGTGCATCATTAGAAATTGAAAATGGTTATCCACTCGTTGCTGATCTAGAACAACTTCATTTGGAAAATGGCTGCATGTCGATTAATGATATTATTCAACCGCGATCTTTTAATTCGGTACTTTAGCTTTAGTTTTTGCTTAATTTCAGTAGAGCAGTTACTTCTTTGATGTTTTTTTTTTCAGTCATTAAATTGCTATTATCACATTTAATGCATAGGATTCAATGGATGACATTGCGGGTATGCAGCGAGACTCGCTGGATGATTCAAACACGAGAGCTTCGGAACTGCTTGAAAGAAAAGATGAAACGCTTGGGGTCGTTACAGCGGGAGAAGCTACCGGGTTATTTGATAAGCTTGTTTATGTGGTTAATGTCGTATGTGAAAACCACATTTTCACTGCATTAACTCAATGAAACTTCAGTTACATAATTCCTTTCACTGTCAGTTCATTTCTTTTTATTCTTGAAACATAAGAGACTTTTTATAATGAGAACTTTCAGGCCACTGCATGATGTAGCAACTATCGTTCACAAAGCATCATCTTTTCGTGTTTCAGTGAATAGACGTCTGGTTGATGCTCAAGGTAGTTAGTATTTTAAATAATAATTTACACATTCCATTAGTTACTCATCTTTGTTGTGAATGAATATTTCTTCTGTACAGCGTGAAGTGGAGTTCGTCTGTTGTGTCTCTAATGCTATCAGTGTTGTGAATTGAAAGGTACTGGGATATGATTTGCATAAATACGGAAGGTAATAGAAATTTCTGGTATACAAACAGCAGCTTATTCTTTGAATGTTGAAAATAAAAGCTATAACGACTGATTGTATCAAGTCTTTCAGTATTTAAAATATCATGGCAAGTTTAGTATTTGTACAAAGTAGATTTTTTATTCTTATTTTCCAAAGCATAATATGACTGATATAAAGGGTCGAGTGTAAGTTCATATCATTCACTTCGTAATGCTATCGCCGTAGGACGTACTATAAAGATATTAAAAGAGTTGCTATCGCAAATAAAAGCTCACTGATGTCAGATCTTGCCTTAGTTTTTTCTTTTTTTCTGGTATCTGAATAAGAAATCTTTGGATTATTTGAATGCATGAAATTGTAGTTTTAATCGAGAAGGAACATTATGTAATAGCTGAATACATGAGTTCTTTGATGCCATAAAAATTAGGCAATTATTTTGATCGAAGAGAAGCTGGTGAAGTACCATGTATGGGCTGGCAAGCATCAAAAAGCACGTTGAAGGAACGTTTTGCATTTTTGTATTGCAACGAAATTCTTGCTGATGTTTGGTTTGTTGTTGGCCGTGGCGAACTAACGCAGGCATGTTTTGGTTACATTTTATCATATGCTGTAGAAAATGATTGGCTTTTTTGTTTTGTAAATGAATGCGGAGCTCTGCATAATTATACATATATTGATTTTTTTTAGAGAATTCCTGCACATAAATTCATATTAATTAGTGGTTCAGCTGTTTTTGATGCGATGTTTAACGGTGGACTATCGAACTATGCAATAGGTATATCTTAGTTTTGTCAAACATTAAATCAAAAATCAACATGTACTTACTGTTAGTGCATTGAAAATAGACCGCTCTTTACAGCATCAGAAACAAGTAGTGCAGAAGGTAGCCAAGATATCGACTTGCCTGATGTCGAGCCTGGAGCTTTCTTGGCTTTGCTCAAATTTCTTTACACAGACGATGTTTCTTTTGGACCAGAAATTGTAATGACAACTCTCTATACAGGTATGCATTCCTTGAAATTTCATAAAATGTTTTTTGTGTTCATCATAAACAGCACTGACTACCGTGAAGAATGATGCATAGCAGACTACGCTACAATGCCTTTTTGGGCAAATTTGGGCAAATTTCTTCATCTTTGCAGGAAAGGTTTATGAAATAATATTTGTAAACGTCTATTCCATATTTTTTTCAACCATATTTCTTTATTCTGTATTTTTTTAGCCAAAAAATATGCGGTGCCCGCTATGGAGCTTGCTTGTGTTGATTTTTTGAAACGAAATCTTGGTGCTGACAATGCTTTTATGTTGCTAACTCAGGCGCGATTATTTGATGAACCGCAGTTAGCTAACCTTTGTTTAGATATAATTGATAGAAATACGATTGAAGCTTTGAATGCGGAAGGTAAATTTATTTTGTTTTATTAGTACATTCTTCTTTTTTAGTACAACTTGTATTGAGTGCAGACTTAATGTTTCAGGTTTCACGGAAATTGATTTGGATACACTTTGTGTAGTTTTAAAGCGAAACACTTTGCGAGTTCCTGAAGCGCCATTGTTTCTCGCAGTACTTCGATGGAGTGCAGAAGAGTGTCGCCGTCGGTCCTTGACTATCAATGCAGAGAATCAGCGAACAGTGCTTGGAAGAGCTTTACATATGATACGCTTTCCATTGATGACAATTGACGAATTTGCCCATCATGCTGGTAAATATATTCATCTTAAAGTCAAGAGAAACAAATGTTTAAAAATTTTTGTTAATTTAGCATGAAAAACTCTTCAAGAGAGAAAACTTTTCAGCTCAAACAGGTATACTAACCGATCGTGAATTGGTCAGCCTTTTTCTGTATTATACGGTGAATCCTAAACCACAGATTGAATTTGTGGATGTTCCACGTTGTTGCGTGTTTGGTAAGGAAGTAGTAGTTAGTCGTTTCCAACGTGTTGAAGGGCGCTGGGGATATAGCGGTACACCAGATCGTATTAAGTAAGTTCTATTTTTCCTTCTTTTTTCTTGGATGCATGTAAGTGGCAAGTTTGAATCTTTGACAAATGACAAATGGTAGCCTCCAAGACTACATTTTTTTATATAGTGTTCTGTTCTAGTATACATTTTTCAGAATTTGTGAAAACTTGGAAACATGCTTTCTTTGAGCCACTCAGAATTTGTCATTCACCTTACTTCATATAAGAGGATTTTGGCTATGAAAAAGTTCTGGGATGCATATGAATGAAGTTTAAAATAAATCACTCTTCCGTAGTTTTTTGTTTCTTATAAATGGGATGTACAGGATATATCTTTGTGATTTTTGTATTGTATTCTTTGAGAAGTTACTAGTTAAATCTTCATATAAAGGCTAAAAAATCGGAAAGATGCATCTGATTTATAAAATTCATTAGATAAACTTCATAATTAAAGGAAATCTTTAATATATGTTTACATGTAAAAAAATATTTGCCAGAATTTTAGATTTACTGTTGATAGAAGGATCTATGTTATTGGCTTCGGTTTGCATGGATCTATTCACGGTCCTAGTGAGTATCAAGTTACTATTCAGGTAGGTTTTTTTGCTTTTCAATGATTAACACTGTTTAGAATGATGTATTTCTTTTGATTATCATAATTGTACTCTTTCCACTATAATTTAAGATTCTTCATTGTGGCACGGGGAAAATTTTGGCAAGTAATGATACATCATTTTCCTGTGATGGATCATGCGGGACATTTCGAGTGTTATTCAAAGACCCCGTGGAAATCAACCCCTGTGTTACCTATATCGCTTCTGCACGTTTGAAAGTAAGATATTTAGAAAATTTCTGTCTTATAAAATATCAGTTTCACTTTTTACTAGATTCATTAATTTTTCTTCTACATGAGATTTTCCAGGGTCCCGATTCTTTTTATGGCACCAAAGGTTTGCGGCGTATTGTTCATCAATCTCCCTCAACCGGAGTCATAACTTTTCAGTTTACTTACGCTGCTGGTAATAATAATGGCACATCTGTCGAAGATGGCCAAATTCCAGAAATCATATTCTGCACGAAAATTATTTAATTTTCTCAGTAACGATTAGTTTTTTTGCTTGTTCTGATGTATACAAATTGACATCAAATAGGTTCTATTTGAACATAGATTTGGCTCTTTCTAACATTCTATCTTCTTATCTTCTTGGTTTCACATACATAATTGATTTTGTAAAATATTATTCCAGCCTTTGTAAATTCATCACCAGTTTGGTTACTACTGCTTTGCCTTCGTTTTTTATTTAGCCGAACCTCTATCAAAAAGATGGTACAAATCAATAATAAAATATATGTAAAATCTTCATGGCAGTTACTTGTTGATTTGATTTTAATCTAATTTTGATGGTCATCAAACATGTTGTGTTGTCCATGTGTTGCTCGTGTAAATGGGTGTAAGCGAGTGTAGAGAAAAAATTGCTTACAAATTTCCAAAATATTGATGAAAATGTATTGAGAAGTTAGGATAACTTTTTGATGGTGTGATTTCCATGATCTTTTTTAACAAAAGTAAGCAGACGATTTCAATTGCTACTTAGCACTAAATTGACTCGGTAGCATTAAGACTGAATTGCTTCGAATTATTTCATGTTTGTGAAATTTTAACGCAAAATACGTTTTACCAACGCCATAATTCTTGATCTAAATGTCATATTTTATGAGAACAATGGAATTTAAAAAAATCAAGACATTGTCCTCTTGTAATATATACAACCTTATAGATTAATGAGTTTGAATGTAACTGGTCTGTACGTCAATTAACAACCAAGTGGCAAATAATTGAATGAGAGCAATAAATGACCTTGTGAAAGTTTTTTAATGAGGGGATGACTTTGATTTTGCATATTAATAGCATTTTTTCGATTGGTAATTTTTTAATACTTACTCTGGATTTAGATTTCTTTTGTTCTTTTTTCTTTATATAGTTTGTTATTCCTATTGAATTGTTTTTTGCTTTTTCTACAAAATATTTTTTAGTATTGATCTGTTTATTTTTGTTAAATATGATTTAGTTGATTGTTATAATAGTTTATACTTATAATTTTGTTTTGATTATTTTTATCTTCCAAGCAAAGGGTTTTCAAGGTAATATCCATGTAGCCTTTATATGTTTTGTTGTCACTATATTCATAATTATTATTCTCATTTTTTTTGGGAGGTTTTTTGTTATGTTTTTGGTTATTAGTGGTATTTAATTTTTTACAGTCCTTTCAAGTTTAATTTGAAGCGGAAAGGTAGTCGTGTGATCGAGTTATTTTTGCAAATTATTTCTTATTATGATGGCTGGTTCGGGTTTTTGAATGAGAGCAACTTGGAAGAGTTCAAATGTGGGAGAATATGTGTAAGAAAATCTTGGTCAGGCTGAGCTGAGAAGTTATGTTAACGAAGTACGATTAGTTCTGATGAAAATATAATGGATAGTTTGGGGAGAATTGGCATTTTGTATGTTTCCAAATTGCTCGTTAGCTTTCATTTTCCTTTAAATAGTTGCATTGCTTTCCTTAAATCTGTTAATTTCAGATAGGATGAAATTTAACTTATAAATAGTACGAAAGTGCGTTTTTTGAGCAGTCAAAGCAAAATTTGCATCTTTCATCTAAAGATGCAAATTGTGTCCACATGGCAAATCAAATTTCATGTTCAAGTTTTGTACCCAAATCTGCCGTGAGAATTTTTTGAAGAATAATAGGAATTAATAGAATAAATGGTAGATCGGAATATTGAAAATGAATAACAACACTGGAATGAATGTTGATTTCATTACTTGCGGTGACCACTTTACTGACTGTTAATATATGCCCTCCTTCTCGTAAACACGGTTCGCTTGTGTAAGCTGAAACACATTTCCAAGTTGTAGTACGCTGTAAAGTAGTTAACTTATGTGTGATCAGTGTAGGCTTTCACTGTTACTTGGATGCACTTTGAAATCTTGAAATTATCATGAAAAGTTGAGTAATAAGATTTGACCAAAGTCATTCATTTCTAGATTTAATCAGTGTCTCATCATTGCTATTGCGTTTTGCAGTTTTCCCAGTGATCATAATCATCAATCGTTCCTTCCACGAAATCTAAACGTATTCCAATTTATTATTCAGTTTATGACTCCATCAACTTTCAGGTCACCGATGATACTTATTTTTAGAAAACGGAATTTGATTATATTTGTTGCTCATAAAGATTACAAAATTTTGTCCGTCCTTAATGAAATCAATTTCGGCGAATTATCATGTACTTACAGTTCTGGGTGATGAGAACTATGTGTTTTTCTGTTTGCGTCCGAGATGTTGTATGTGAAATAGTTATGGTACTTTTCAAGGTTTCACCACTTATGTCAGTAAGTCATTTGAAGCATCTTAAAAAACTACCCGGATTTCCAACTAGAACTTTGACCAGTTTTTAGACAGTACATATTTCTTAACCTTGAAGAATCATACAGACATTTTGAACCAGGTGAATATGTAAACATTGTTTGTCCATCCCCAATTAGAGAAAATCATAAGGTGCAAACGCTTTTTACTGCTTTCAGTTCCGTATTTTTCTAAATACGTATTGGGTAGATTTCATCACAGGGCGTTAGCAGAGAATAATGTATTTATTTTGCAGTCTCTTAAACTTGACGCCACCAAGCGCAAAAGTGATACAGTGGTTAGTTGGATACAACATTTTATGTATTACACCATTCTTCGTCAATCCATTATAATTAGTGGAAAAATATACAAATATATTCCACCATATATTTTATAATTAAAATTGATACTGCGAAATGATACTTTCGGGTTTTCGAAGACAGTTATTGTCAGTTTCTACAAAATTATGTGAATTAGAAAGAAGCAGAGGAGACGTCATTCCCCAAAACTTTTGATCTGTACCATCTGAAACAAGAACGGATAATCTGTATATCAAACCACCCTACGAAATCGATATTTAATTGGTCATTAGGGGATCAACTTTCTGCGTTTTAGTTTTATCTCAAATTACCCTTCCAGGTCTACATTACAGCTTTCGGTGGGCAATTTTGCCATATGCAAGCATAGCTACTTGGAGACCGGTTTTTACCTTCCCTTCCAAAATTCGAAGTTCGTTGGTTCGTGAAACAACCAAACGCGGAGTAAATTATTTCAGATTAAGCAGGATAACAAAAAATAGGAAACGGAACTCTATACTGACTAATGCACCATTTTACAGATGTATTAAAACATAAAGGTATGAATGTTCTTACCTCAAACTTCAGTTACCAAAAAGTCGTGGTGCTGTGTTTTACCTTTTGCCACGAAAAAATTCCTAAATCTTTGCTTGAAATAAACAGCTAAATCTAATGCAGAAATACTATTAATCATTATCATCTAACATGTTTAGAGAGCATATTTAGCGGTTTATAATCATCAAAAATATTCTTTCAAAGAGGCTTTCAGCACTGAATCCTTTTCCTTTTTCAGTTTTTTTCATCTCTTTTGATCCGAAAAACAACTTTCTTCCGCTGCTATTTGCGGAATTGTAATGCATCAATACAATTATTCCATTGCTACCCAAATGGATGAGCACCTCATACAGAAAGTTAACAATTCCATTTTGAAATTTAGCACCATCTGTACTGTGCGCGAAGTTTGCGTATTTCATTTCGTGATGTAATTGATAATGTATTCTCCTAAATTTTAAATCACATACGATTGGAGTTCACGCAAAATGAGATGAATTATGTGGAAACCAGTCTATCTATGGAAAAACATACTTTCACAACTTCCAACGTAACATAACTGTGTTGTGCTCGAATAACTTGAATTTGCGATTTGACTAATATTAGCTTTTTTCAGATATTTATTATTATAAATCACACAAATATCAGTACAAAAAACAACTGAATCATAGCTTCATTTCATACAAACAGAAAAAAAACCGTCATCCAAAACAGGATTTCACGTCGCTTAAATAAGAATTCGTTTTTAGATGCTACCGGACTACTATGTATGACCGCCGACCTTTCTGAAGTACTCTTTGGACTCCTTGACGCCGGGCTTAATTGTTGGTTTATCATCAGACCAATTTGCTGGACATACTTCACCATGTTTTTCCACAAATTGAAAAGCTTTCAGCGTACGGAATGCTTCATCCACACTACGACCAACCGGAAGATCATTCACTAGAGAATGACGAATTTCACCATTTGGATCAATTAAGAACAAACCTCTGAAACAAGAAGAAATGTTGAGATTTAATAATAAAAGAGACACGTTCCCAATTTTGCTTAAGGAACAACATACTTATAAGTTTAAAATATCCTAAATAAAGTGTTAAAATTGGGCATCTTACCGGTATGAAATACCTGTTTCATGATCAAGCACACCGAATGCATTCGCTATGTCTTTATTAAAGTCTGCAAGCACTGGAATCTGAAAGGAAACTTTCCAACCCATTTGAGAATGTTTAATGAAATACAAGTTGGACATATTACCAAAATTTATAAGAAAACTAGTACAAAAAAAGTAAACCTGCATATCACCGAGACCACCTTCACTACGCGGGGTTTGTACCCAAGCTAGGTGTGAGAAATGGGAGTCACAGGAACAGGCAACCAATTCTGCATTTAATTTCTGAAATTCTGCACATCGGTCGCTGAAGGCAGTAATCTCGGTTGGACAAACAAATGTGCTGAAAGCAGTATTAATTTCAAGATTAAGGTCAAGAATCAATGAACTAACAAACGATCAATTTAATTATGGAGAAAAAAATTTTTGCGCACTCAGAGTCAAACCAAGGGTCATCGCGCCATATGCTGAAACAACGCCACTGTGCCACTGTATTGGCCATAATAGAAATCCTACAAAACCCAGAAAGTCATCATGAAAAAGTAAGAAATTTTGGAAAAAGAACAGAAAGAAGGTTAACTAACAAGTCAAGAGGATAAAAAAATATGATAAGCCATTTTCCTTTATAATCTTTCATGCTAATTGTTTTGAAATTGCCATTTACAACTGCTGTACCCTGAAAAAGTGAATAAACTTATAAAGTGGTTGTGCACAAAGTGAATGCTTTCTTAGCCTCGAAATATTAACTAGAGCCAAAGTGATAAAAATAAATCTGCAAAGATAAGAAACGTACAGAAAAATCAGGTGCTTTGTTTTTTGGACCTAAAGGTCGAACACCAGTTAACGTTATAGAGGAGGTGCAAAGCCGGGCAGCAGATATTCGACGAAGTGGAGATGCCGCTGCCTAAAAACTGATTAGTATAAAATCATTAGTTTTGACTGCTCAAAAGAGGTCCTTAAGAACATGATAAAGAGAGCAAACCAATAAAAACAATAATAAAACTCACTAGTATTGAACGAATCATTTTGCTCGACTTACTTTCTTCCTGTAACATCTGTTTTACAACAAGTTAGAAAGCCACAATCAGAAAATACGCTGAGAACAATAAATCATTCCTTAAAGATACCTTTATCTGCCACAGCAGAACTCTAACCTACCACCAACTTCTTTGTCACAATCTTCGATAAAAAAAGATGAATATGTTTTATTCTATAAGCTGGCACATTATAAGTTACCTGGCCATCACTGATGAAAAACCCCCCTTCTAAATACAGTTATTGCAGGGACCCAACTACTGAACAGTACGTGACCCAAGGCCAAAATACCGACAGTCTATTGCAGCGAAATAACTATATCCTCTTTCGAGAAATTTTTTGGATAATTCGGAAAAATTACTGAATCATTTTATCACGAATCATAAAAATAGAAGTCTGATTATCAGTAAGCGCATACAACGGTAAGCTCATGCAATTTTTAACAATTTCCATTCAATAAAGCAAGCGTCTTGGAGTAGAAGCGAAATTCTACTTTCACCTCATGGTTTTCAAGCAGAAAGCAACAAAACTAGATCAGATAACATTTTCAGCATTTGAAGAGTGGGAGTGACTCCCGGGAATCTCCCTTTGCCAAACTGATCTTGGACATCTCAGGGAGCATTCGGCTCCTCTTTACTTCGAGTACATCTCCTTACCTCCATCCATCTCACCACCACCACCACACCTCTCCCAATATCGTTACCACTTATCTTTTACTCCTTCAAGCCTATGCTTTTCGCAACTTTTATCGGTTTCTGTCACCTCTTCAATCACATAATCTCTCGTCTTCTCTTGATCATCTCTCGATCCTAAGAATGGTGAAGCAGTTAAGTAACTGAGAGTGTGGGTTTACAGTTTGGTTTATTTTAGTGAAGGGTCGAAAATCCTTCATACATGCAGTCTATCCATCGGTGCACTATACCTATCGTTCTTCGGTTACAAAACATTTTGACTGTTGACGTGACCGTAAATATAAGCATAATTTAACGTATTGACAAGTATCTGTTACATGAATTCCTTTTCAGTGTTGAGAAAGAATCCGATGTTATATCTGGATGAGCACCATATAATCGACTATTAAGAATACAGCAACGAGCAAAGTAAGACATGCTGGCCTTTAGTGACAGTAAGACCGGCTTGACTGGCATTGATAAGGTTTTTTTTTTTTTATATAAATTGATGTAACTCAAGCAGCACGTCTCATGATGATGTGCAACTGGACGTTGTGCACTGTTATTCGATCACTTGTTCGAAAAAGACAATATCAGATCAAACACTAATTCAGTTTACTTGCTGATCATCGTTCCATAACTGCTACTATGAGTTTTACATGTGGCACTACCATGTGTAGAGCAAAATTACAAGGCAGAAAAAATGCTTTTGAATAAGCAGTTTTATTTTGGAAGTTCCTTGCTGCATCGTTTAATGGTTTGTTTACATTTGTTTATAAGAAAAATTTTAGATAAAATATGCTTTTTCTCTGTTGAAGATTATGAGAATTTTCCAGGAACATGTTCAGAAAATAATCAATGAAAATACCAGCCCAGATTTTGAGGGACATGCGAAAAAAAAGAAAGAGAGAATTGATGCGAGAATAAAACGTTATAATAACATTATGACTAAATTTACTCCACATCAGATTCTCCAGGCTCAAGCTGAAGTTGGTTTTGTTTATCGTTACAGTTTATCTCTCCAATTCTACATATTTGTGATTATGGTAGATTTTTAACGGATCATTCTTTGCGATGCACTCTATATTGCACAGTTTAGATGGATGTTTTGGTGGGCATATTGGAAAAAGAACGTGATCTTTCCCGTTATGCTGTTCACATTGATATGGATGCATTTTATGCAGCTATTGAAATGAGAGATGATCCTTCGCTGCGCAATATTCCAATGGCTGTTGGTTCATATTCAATGCTTGTATGTCTATTATTCTTTTGATACATTTATGTATGTGCTTACAGTATATTCTATATTTGTATTTTTATGAAGCAGCTTGTATCCTATTATAGCTCTGATATAGAATAGATGCAATAGTTATTTGCCTTTTTTATGAAATGTTTTTCTCATCAATTAATTGCTTTTCTCTTTATATGCCAATAGAGTTAGCAGTTTTTTATATGAGTAATTCTTATGGACAGCTCTTCTATTAAGTTCTGAAATGCATTAAACTTCCTGTTAGTCGTTATCTAGGTTGAGTATCTAGGGCGATCATTATCGTTATCTGTTTCTTATATAGTGCAGCATATTGAAATGTGAAGTGAATTCAACATCTTACGTCACATCATTTTCAAACAGAAATTAGAATTTAATAGACATTTTGAAAACCCTTTCGCATGAGGGTTGCCAGTTTGCTTTTAACTGCTTGGTTCTATTTTTTTTTCCAGAGTACATCAAATTATGCAGCTCGTCGTTTTGGTGTCCGTTCTGCTATGCCTGGGTTCATTGCAAAGAAATTATGTCCCCAACTGAAAATCGTTCGTTGTTGTTTTGACAAATATCGAGAAGCAAGTTCAGTGGTGGGTATATTGGAATCATGAGAAGACTAAATATGGGGCAGCTAAGTGTTTTGATACAAAACCAGAATCTTTCAACATTTAATTTTCAGATTAGAAAAATATTTAGAGACTATGATCCTGATTTTTATGCAGATGGCTTGGATGAAGCATACATAGATTTAACCGCCTACGTCCAAAATCGATTTCGCACTGGCTCAGGTACACAGTTAGTTATTGTGTTGTTGATAATTTTTCCTGCATTTATTTGAAAGATGCATTTTGCAGCCGAACACGAACGAATTCGATATATGGGTGAGTGCATTTGCCGACTACCTTTAATTGAGGAAAATGAGATATGCCACTTGGACAATGCTGAAATTACTGAAGAGATGTGCACAAAATGTAAAAAACCAAGCAAATGTGTACGAGATCGCATCACTTTCGGGGTAGATGTTGATGAAGTGCGTGTTTCACAATTTCTTTTTTTTGATACAGGAGAAATATCATTCGAAAATATGTTTTCTGGGTAAAACAATTTGCAGGTTGTCCGTGAAATGCGATTCAGAGTAGAGCAAGCAGTGGGTGTAACTTGCAGTGCAGGTACAGTTAGTAGTTATAATCTTTTAATATCAGTCGTCGAGTTCAACAATTTGTTAGAAAAAAGTGAATACAGGGCATGGAAGAGGGAGTGTGTTTTAAACATAAGATGTATGATATAAAATCAGGAACTTAGGCTTAATGAGTTGATGAGAAAAAAGCTGCTAACTAATAACTTAGACGGAATAGATGGCCTTGTGTTTACATATTAGTATGTATGTTGCTGTAATTCGAAATTTCAATTCTGATTGTATTAGGAGGGAGCAAGGTACATTTCGTCTGTCATATTTTTTTCATATAAGCCAAATATTGTAGGAATAGCGCCAAATTCCCTATTAGCCAAGGTATGTTCCAATATCAATAAACCGAATGGGCAGTATCATCTGCTGAATGAAAAAGAAGCTGTTTTGACTTTCTTGAAGGATCTTCCGATACGTAAGGTAATTTCATACATCCATTGAATTTAATAGTAAAATTTTGTTTGTTATTTTATTCCCTACTGCTTCTAAAAGCCGTTTCGACATAAACAAAGCCAATACAATATTTCAGATAAGCGGAATTGGACCTGTAACGGAAGCAGTTTTGAATGGAATAGGTTTGGAAAAATGTGGTGATTTATATGATCGACGTGGAATAATTAGTTTGCTTTTTACACAACTCAATTACGAATATTTTTTGCGAATTGCTCTTGGTATATCTCATGTGTTCAGTGTTGATCGAAAAACAAGACGGAAAAGTATCAGTACAGAAAGAACATTCCATCCTACTGGAGACCTTGGAGTACTTCTTGAGGTAATGCTGTGCAGATATTCTTTTTAATCGTAGTTAAATTTATAAGACTTATAAAACATAGGTTTAAAGGAAAATATGAAATTTAAATATTCCACACTATTGTTTAGGTTTCTACTTAAAAATTTTACTTTTATAAGTTACAGACGTTGGAGAGTCTCTGCAATGAACTTATTGACTCTTTACCCGACCACAGAATTCGAGGAGGACGCACAGTTACTGTAAAGATGAAATTCTCAACGTTTGATGTAATTACAAGATGCTGCAGGTATTAAATAACTTCGTATCATGTGCTTCCTATTTGTCTATCATGTCTCCATTACTGACTCCAAGTATTCCTCAAGAAGTAAGTAAACACTTTTATACTGCGTTACTCAGATCTTTGAAACTATTATAAAATCTAAACTGTGTAGTTTTTTAGCGTGGACTACATGATTTCTGATGTAGATCATTTGTTTACTTTATGTTCAAAGTTTGTACGTCGAGAAATGCATGATGGCGATGCTAATAACAAATATTTGCGACTGCTTGGTGTACGATTAGCTCGTCTAGTCTTCGAAAACGAGAAGGTATATTGCTTATTATTTGGATCATTTTTCCCTCTTCGTCATTTTACATTTTACCAGGATGAGTCATCAACCCCGTTGTGTTCATTCTGGAATCGAAGAGAAATGGAATCGGCAACAGTCGAACATATCAGTGATGCGTCAAATGATGGCCCTTTACTCTCAACTTTAAAATGCGATGGCAATTTCGACAGTACTGATGGATTAGCTGGTGCCTCCATAGAAGCGATTCATTTGGATGAATCACAGCCTTGCCCAATTTGCAAAGTCGCATTGCCGAGAGAGCTCAGTTTGGTGAATCGACATATTGACGAGTGTTTAAATAGGTTCAGAAATTGATATAAAAAGCTTTTAAATACTTCTGTTGATACTTTTATAGCGGTGATTAAAGAAATATATAATTTCATACAGCGGACGAGGCGCTAGCTTTAATCCTTCGATTTTGAGACTTGTGTAATTTTTGTCTCATACATTAGCTACCTTTGCATAAATTTATTTTTTCAGACAGGCGATAAGTGAACTGAAGGTTGCTCAAAATATCAACAAAGCGACAATTAAACGTGGAAGTCCGAAAGATAAGATACCAAAGAAAAGGCTGGCGAAGAGAAAAGTACCAAATAAGATATCTAAGAATTCATTAGAAAATTATTTCATCAGAAGGCCGATGAACATGTGATTAATATTCGTCATTGATCCGACAAATTGCATTAAAGGTCAGACCAATGGCGAATATCAATCATATGTTCGTCGTTTTTCTCCCGTTACTTGTAGATCACAGCATTGATTTAGCTGACTTAAAAATGAATGACGAAATGCCATTCCACTAATTAAATAAAGGAAAATGATATGAACCTCATTACGTCCGATAAACTTTGCTGGAAAGGCTTCACTCAAAGGCATACTATTTTTATCTTGCATAGATGTAAGTTTTCTTAAAGTTGAAAGAGAAAGATTGGGAAACACTTCTCGAATTGGAGGGATTGTAGTTGATCTGCATACGAATTTGAATTCTGCAGTTTCCGAGCTCAGGAAAGAATTGTGAGAATACGATGTTCTGCACATGATAAAGACTGCTCTAGTCGCTCAATATATGCTGGACTTCATCGAACACAATACAACTTCCCATTATATCCAATTATCTCACGGGAAGAAAGCAAATTACTACCCACTTTCCATCTCTCATACTTGGTGTCATAGATATGGTTAAATTGTTAGAAAGGCCACAATTGTAGTCGTTACTATCAATAGTTATTAAGACCCTAGATTATTTTGAACACTTGAAATGAAAGTAAATCTACTCAATTCCCGATCATTCCAAAAAATAGTATAAAATATCGTGATTCTTCTAGTGTGTACTCACGGAACAAACGAAGCAGTGTCAAAAAACACGGTAAAAAGGCAGCGCTGTGATTACCCCTGGCTTCAAATAATATTCGCAACGAATACATCCTACATTTCTGCACCTAAATCTCAGCAATCTGCCCCTAAATATCAAGCCAACTACTACCAAACGAGAATAAACAAACCACTGCTGCAAAGCCGGTTCTGCCGTAATGGAGGTTATCGATGTGTTGTTGTGATGCTTCCAGTTTCTGTGAAGCACCTAGACCCTGCACTCCCGTGCAGATAATCCGATCTGAATTTTGCCACATCTAAGTGGTAGCAATTAACTAACCGCAATAGGAGTGCTTCACTTACCAGCCGATTACGATGTAGTTCCATAAAATCATTGTTTGTTATGCGCTTTAAAATGTAGATTTTATTTCTGAAAAATACGAGTCAAAAAGGAGAAGTGTACTTGTACTGAGAGAGCAAAATGTGACAGAGATAACCTGCCACGGAATACGTCAACACCGTAATTACACCAAAGTACGAGTAACCGGGCCGCAAAAGAACTTTTGAGACGGATCACAACAACACAATGGGTATACGCCTAAAGCATGTTGAAATTATTTATCGCGAAATAGCACGGTCAACACGAAGCTGACGTCCCATAAATTCGGCATGGTTCATACTTCCAACAGCCTGCTCTGCCGCTGCTTCCGTTTCAAATTCGCAGAAACCGAAACCACGCGGACGTCCCGTATCCCGATCCAACACGATGCGCACGCTGGTTACCGGACCAACTTGCCAAAAGAAATTTGCCACATCCTCCTCTCTTGCACTGTAAGGCAAGTTTCCAACTGAAAAACAGTTCAAAGATCTCATAATGCTGCTAAAAATGTGGCAAGTGCGGCTAACAAAATTTGTATCCCTAATTTACAATAAGATGTGCAAAGATGTCGACGTTTGCATTTTTTTTTTAAACGGACCATTAAAAAAAACCTGCTGTGAAAGCCTGAAGCCCAGAGTATAACATAATTCCCATCAACCATGTTAGTTGAACCGAAATTAAAAGCCCAATTTTTTAATACGTATTACTTATGAATCACATCGGAGATCAGGGGATACAGGTAAGACAATACATCTATACAAAACACCCATGATAAACTTCCTTTGCTAACAAAATTTGAAAGCACTCCCTCAACATACTCCGGTAGTTTCAAGTCCTTCTAAGTACTTCGGAAGTTCTATTCATAACTTTTATGAACTGTTCCCTATTCATATCACTTTAGCTATGGCTTTATTAGCTCCGTCGGCTATAAGCTCGTAGAACCATATAAAACCAGAAATTCTCTTCCAAAGAAATTGTGAATTCCACTAAAGATTCAATTTGTAATAAAAAAAAAAATACATGCGAAATAACTGACCAAATACTGAGCGAGACATGACTTTTCCGGAACCGAACGTGAGACCTTGACGAGAGACAAAAACGACCCGAGAACTACAAGGAAAAAGTTTTGAATAGAAGAAAGGTGATTATACACACAAAACATTGCAAACACGTGTCTCTGGAAAACTGTGAGGATCCAGCAAAGGTACCCCGGAAATACAACGCACCATCTCAGGTCAATCTCTCCTACTGTTCTACATCACGCCAGAAGAGAAACCATGAAGATGCGAGCAACCAACCAGACACACCACACGCGAAGCCTAAAAATGGCGAATGACTGTGAAGGGTGGTTCGCTCAACTTTCAATCGATCGTCCAAAAGACGCTCTCTCTCCTCCACTCTGCCTCTCGTCCGTAAGCAGACTGATTAACAACTAATGGAAAAGACTGTGAATGGGGGAAGTGAGCAGTGACAGGCAGTTAGGCAGTCTTGTTGGTAGATTATATCCTTATTTCTGTGTCCCGAGAAAATACCCGTGAGTGGCGGATACGTAAGCTTGCTGGTTTTTTTTTTTTTTTGAAATGCAGTCGGGAAAATTATACATGCGAGATGTAGAATGATTCTAGAAAAGAAAATGCTAAATTTCTAGTAACTTATAAACATTGTACGGCATATCAGATTGATAGTATACATACATGCACATCAGGCAGTAGCATTCCGCATTCTACACACATAAGCTGCTGGACAAGATGATTAAGCTATGAACAGTTGGAGAGATATATGTGCGGCATGTTGGACTTCTAACATTATATTATGACCTCATCCCTTATGATCAGGCTCCTCCTTTCTATTTCCTTTTTATTAGCCGTTTTTATAGTTAACATGTGCGCCGTGAGTGCCAGTTGAACAGAACGCAGACTATCAGATGGAAATGAAGGAAGTGACCCTTTCAATAATTAGACACTCCTCACATTTGTTCCTTTTTGAACATTGCGAAAATAAATGTTTGGTGCTCATAATATGAAAGAAACAAAGTGGGCATTAGAGTTATCTTCAGATCCTTCATCACCACGAGCTCGAGGTCTCATGCAAAAAAAAATTCTCCATGCTTAGAATCAATTTTTTCACTTTTGTTTCTGAGTAAAACAACTGAAAAACAAAAATTTATTCATCATCTATTATTTTACTTGATAAATCGTCCTTCAAACGGTAGTAAAATGTTAATTTGAATACAACTTCCTTCGCTTTTCCAAGCTGGTTTGTTTCAATGTTGTTCTTAAATTCTCTTCCTAACATCCGGATGTTATTTTCCACTTCATCCAACAAAACCTTCAGTTCCTTTGGATCATTACTCGTTACTACCAGTTCATTCAGTTCCATTATTTTTAGCAAGAAATCTGTGGTGCCCAGTGCATCTAGAAACGATATCACCAATTACTGAACCTACGTTTAACGAAAATATTAAACTTCCCAAAGTTTTTCTGAAATCGACCAGCCAAAGTGCTGCAGTAAAACTGGAAATTATTGCAAGATTATTGTAAACTGGAGATTAAAAAAAATTAATTAATAATCGACAGTTAAAACAATTTTGGGATTACGTTCATCATCCAGTGAGACCCCTTTCAATGTGAGCAAATATTTTGCCCTCTCTAACGGTTCGGCCAATGTTTTGTACGCTTCATTAAGATATCGTGAACAATTTTCAGATATTTCTTTTTCTTCCTGCAAAATAGTAAATGAGCTGTCATGAACATAATTTGTCTATGAATTTCGGCTCGGAAGGAATTTGACGCGAGAAAGTGCTAAATAAATTTCCCATAAAATTGATATGAATTCTCAAATCTTGATCATTTTAATCGATAGTATGACAAGATTGAATAATCATTTCATTCTCAAGAAAAAAGACTTTTTTGACTCTGTGAAGATCCTTTTATGCAAACATTGTTGCAATACACAATGAGTTTTCAAAACTGCATAAAAACAGCAATATTTCTCATAAAGTACGAAACTGTGTAAAAATAGCAATATTTTTCATAAAGTTAAAAATATTACTTGAGAACAATTCGAAAATTTGTCAGGATGAACAACTGACTGCAGTTTGAGGAAATTCGTCTTCAATAATGAAAGATCAACATCAAATCCAGGAAGCAGTCCCAAATAATTGAAATAATTTCTGCCTTCAACTGGTTGGATAGCTGAACACACTGGACAGAACAACTTTTCCTGTAACAAGCAATATCCGCTTTGTCAACATATAAGAAGACATTGACGAGTTACTACCTAAATCTTTATAAAATTCTTTAGCTCAATCATTCTTCTGTAATGAAGTTTTAAAATTGTACAAGAGCGCATCAAAAAGGAATTTCATCCAAGCAGAGAAGAAATTAACAAAGATGAAGAATTTGGCCTCTGATTTACTTAACTGTCAGCATCGCTTATCTAAGGTTGAGATAATAAAAGAAATTTTTCAATACAAAATATCATGGATAAGGAAAGTGAATGAAAAACTGTCATCACCAAGTTAAAATTCTTCTACCCATTGAGAATATCTTCAATTGGTCGGGTCTTTCATCTTGTACCACATACTATCTTTTAAAAGAATAGAAATGTACCTTCAAACATTCAATAGCTTTACGACACCTCCAACAATTCAAAGCTTCGGTGTATCTTTTTTTGATTTTACTGGAAATAGAAACAAGCTGCCATTTGATGACTTGGATACGGTCTGCACACCAATTTAAAGTTTCAAATAAATTAGCAGTTATCAAGAAAGTAAAAATAAATACTCACCAAAAATTACGTGAGAGAGCAGCTGATTTTAATCGAAACATCACCGAAAAAGCTAAGGTCACACGCCCAAGCCCTTTTTTCAAAATGCGACTCGACTAACAACTTTGCAGTAACACTGAAAAACCGAGACACAGAAACGATGATTTAAAAACGAACCACCAACAGAAAAATTAGGTTCATACCATTTCAACAGCATATGAACTGCAACAAAATGCTATAGGACACCGATCAGTAACATATCCAAGAAAAAGTTATCGATCCTCGCAAGAGTGAGGTTTTATCCTGACTAAATCTTTCATTCCCATGCCTACATTTCTGGAAAATGATGATTACTTAGCCGATCTTTTGCTGCATAAACATAAAATCTTAAAGTCTCTAAATTCCGATACAGCCTATCATACATCTAATTAACCAGAAGCAGATTAATGCACGAACTATTCGAACAAAATACATTCAAAATTACTAACAATCGTCAAAGATACAGTGCCCTGCCATTTCAGTAGCAATAAAAATGAGACAAAATCAATTTTTGTGAAATTTTATTTTATAAGTGGTTCATAAAACAGTAATGTGACTGATTAGTGGTTCATAAAACATAATGAAACTCATATGTGGTTTGAGACAGTAAAGAACTGATAAGCGGTTTATAGTATGAAATTCATTAGTGATTTGCAAAATATTACGGTTCATTAATTTGTGGTTCATAATCAAATTATACCATTAAAAACAAGAAAAATTGAACATATCTGAACGGCATACCATTGCAGAAATGAAAATAACCGCGTATATAGAAGAATATTAAGGATATCCCGGAGATCAACAAAAACAAAAAAAGCAACTAGGAAAATCATTTGTTGGCATAATTGACATACATCGATTGCGAAGGTGTTATCTTGAAATTGTTTAAACCCGCACGAGCTGATGTTGCTTCAGCTTCTGTCTCGAATTCAACGAATGCAATATCTGGCCTATTCGGAATACGCCTGATGTCCTTCAGACCAGGATAACTGTAAAAAGAAAGCGGAAAATTTCTTTCAAGTGCTACGCTTCACAGGTCATGCATCATTATCAAAAATTCAAAGAGCTACTACTATACTGAGAATATCAATTGCCCAATAATAAGCAGCTCAAACAAACATAACCAGAAATACTATGCTGTATTTCACTTTTTTAAAATTAGAGAGTTGGATCCTAAAAAGATTACTACCAAAACTTACGGATTAAAAAGAAGGGAAAGCATTTGCTCTGTTGTCTCCTCAGGAAGATTTGTGCAAAACAGGATTTTATTTGGCGGATTTGCTTTTTCCGGAAGCTCAGTTTTCCCAGTAGAAGTTTTATCCATACGCATCTAAAATGAAATTAAGTGTAGTGGAGTATAATAATCAGTGCAAATTAAATGTCAACGAAATTCTACCTTTTTATTTTCCTTTATATGACTTGTCTTTTTTCGTTTTTCTCCAGCAGCGTGCTTGGCAAGAAGGTGTTTTTTCGGACGATCTATATAAGTACCCTTCGCTTTTGCAATAACGTCAGAATCTTCTCGTGCAAACTGTATACGCTGCAAAATATATTTTAAATATTTTGGTGCCTCAAATTTGAGCGACTGCGGAACTAAGCATAAACGGGTATAGCAAAAGCTTACTATCGTAATGATGTTTAAAACTGAAATTGCTCCCTTGAAGTTACGAAAGTAATAGCAAGATTAGTAAGTGGAAAATCATAGCATACCAACTGTAAATAAATCAAACCCACCATAGGCTTATCATAAAACGGGAAGCCTTGCATCGCACGCAAGGCATTCGTTGCTGAACTTATTTCCTTGAATATCACATGTGCCTATAGAAATTCATACAGTAATCAACTAAAAGAAGGTAAACGACAAGATCTTGATACATTCGCATTTTAATAAAGAATTCAGATTCCATGTGTGTTTAAACAATAGAAACAATGAATCTTATGTGAAATATTCCTTAAAATAAAGCAAACCTGTCCACGCATTTTCAATGTTTTGAATGCCATTATATCAATAATCTGCCCAAATTGCGAAAAAATTGCATAAAGAGCTTTTTTGAGCTCTGAAAGAAATTTACTCATCTCATTATCTTTTATATGTAACTATAAATTATCTTTTCTATGAGATAACCTCCAGTAAATCTATCTCATGTATGGTCATATTTGAACTAAAACCGAAAAAACTGATCAAAGTACACAGCATAGCCTACCTTCCTTTTTCGTTTTTTCATTAAGATTATTGATATAAATAGTATGGTTTGGCTTTATATCCATGGCGAAGCACCTGAAACCAACGAAATCACAATAATACTAAGGAAATACGAATTCCTTGCTACCCAGATTTGAACCGCGATGAGTGGCCACTAAACCAGATGAAAATTTTACCAATTCGAAGCATTTCGTAAAAGGCAATTCAAGATTCGACATCTGTTACCGCGCTATGAAATTCGTTGATCTCGTCCAGAAACGTTTATTTAGGAGAGGAGATGCTATGGGTGAACAGGAAATAATTGCTCATTGCATTATGAAATTTAGCCTTCAAAATCTGTTACTGCTAAAGAAGGGCAAATCAGCAAACAACACTAAACGGCGGTTTTTCTATTTCTCTATTTGCAGAAATTTTAATTTCTGCATTTGTAAATAATTCCAGCCAGATCTTTCTCACAATTGCTATCCATCCACCCGCTGCACTGCCTTCCTGCAAGATTATATGGTTGAACATAGGGAAGCTTGTCTTCCAAAAAAATTGAAGCCATTTGTCGTAGCATTCTATCCCCTGCTTGCATGCAAACAGCACATAACAATTCCATCAATCTATCTGCACGAAGTCAAAAGTTTGGATTAATTATCTACACTGTTGCAAAATAGAAGTACCGGTTCAATGAGCGATGTCTCACTGTACAAGATAAATTCTCCGTACTTTCTTGTTTTCTTGAGAAAATTAATTTCATTTCGAGGCTGAATGTTGTTTGGAATGTTTGCTGCAATTGGCAGAGCTTCAATTGGATTTGTTGTGCAAATGCGGAGATGTGGGATTATCGTACACTGATAGTTGTTTTTATTTTAGTTACGAAGACGGATTTAGCCAAAGTGGAAGTGCATAATATTTCCTGAGAAACGTGCTGTTTGACAAGTCAATTTGAATATCGGATCATTTTCTAACATGTTGCATAAATTCCACACATTAACTACGAAAATCAAAATGGTTGGTAAATTTCTCATCTAATAAAGTAGTAGAATAACGATGGAGCCGTCTCAAGATATCAAACCCTGGCATTTCAAATCTAGCTTGCTGTGCCCTACTAAGCAATTTGCACCTTCTTTAGCTTTTCACACTTTCTTACTTGATAATCTGCTTTTGTTTTCCACTATCTAGCCGAATTGGACGCATGTTTTTTGGGGTGCCTGCTTTTGGTGTTATCCGTTATATGTTCTCGTCAATTTACATCGTGTGGAGGTCATCAAATATGACATGTATGGAAATTTAATACAAGATAAGGTGAGCTTGTGACTTCAATTTTAGGTTATATTTTGAACTTCTAAAGCACATTACTCAGTAGTTAAACTTTGCCATGCAAAAGGTTGACCACTTACGCACTAGTTTGTATACTTACTCTAGATTCCAGGGTACACACTAATATGTCTCACCTTACCACTGCTTGTTCTATCATTCTACCTTATTTTAGGCAATCGCGGAGTATTGGTGGCGTTATCCATCTAAAAAAAGTGCTCAATAGCTGCGCAGTATCGGACCGCAAAAATGATCATGACCTACGTATAACCCACATAAAAATCCAAGATGTAAAGAGTATAGCACGTCTCGAAAACTTCAGTTCCTAGCGGCCGAAACTCATTGCGTATACTTTTCCTATGAATTTTCCCATCACAGTGATTATCTTCATTATTCATCAAATTCTCGAAATGTTGTTCGGGATCTCATGTAAGTTAAAGTGATTCAGAATCCTCTCTGCTCAACTGCAAACGTCACGTTATTTGGAGGCGCATTTCCACTCAGGCTCTTGTGATTAACTTCCTTTAGTCTTTTAAGCCTTGGCTGTACCACGAATTCAATACTTAGCGTTATAACCGACTCAAGTGGAAAATAGGTCAGTTATCAAACAATTTGCGAATAAAGAAGTGCAGAAACTTTAAATCGTTATCATCGTTACACGACAGATTCCTTTCTCAAAACCAATTTTCTAAATTTGAAAATTTTAACTTGAAAAAGTTCAAGATGCAACCTTTTCCTGAATGAGGTTTGCATTCAAAAACACCATGGTATTTAACATACAAACAATAACATGAAACGCACAAACACATTGCGGATGGAATTGAAAGTGTAACTTATACACACAATAGACGTATAAATATAGATCAATATATCAGCAATAGAAATACTTTAAAATACACTTTAAAAAAAATTAATGGGTAGTGAAGTTTAAACAACTAATTCACAATGAGTAATTAAAAGACTTCTTATTGACATTAACAATTCATAAAAAGGTTCTAACGCTGAATAACAAATACGACATATTCACAAACGATTTGATTCTTGCGGCGCAAAACCAAGGACACGCTATGAATAGATCGGTAACAAAATATCATTTTGAAACACAGAAATGTATGATGAAATAGGTAGAGAAAAGTGAATTTCATTTCGTTCCACTACATGTATCGATACTGTCCCAATTAACAGCAGACCTCATCTTTAACTCGCAGAAACCGTGACTGCCTTAACAGGTAACACTCCACAACTAGGTAAACAGAATGCCAAGACACGACGAAAAAATCAGAATAAGTAACATCTCCTTTCAACCACACCGGATACCGAGCAGTGTTTCTTCAACTCGGAAAGATAGCATCGATGTCTCTCTCTATGGCCTGAGCGGTCTGCGATTCAAGGTTAAACCTTCCTTGCCCCTAAACATATTTCAGTTAAGGAAATCCTCTAATTTCATAACCAGCACCTTCACTAAATGTCTAAAGTAGATACGATACATCAGCGAAATAGACGACAAAGGAGCTGCTCTTCCAGGACCACCAAAATACCTAGTTTTCTAATCGTAATTCTATACAAGAATGAATCAAAGCTTTAGCCTTGAAAAAAGTCAGTTAAACAAATGGAAAAAAATGGAAAAAGTTTTTTTTACTAAAATGGAAAAAAAGTTTACTAAAAATAAGAAATCTTGGACAGAATGATTAACCATGAATACGGTTGCTTTTCACAGGCACTTAGCCATCTCTGGACCTGAATTCGGAAAAATTCTTGTTGCTCGGCTGCGTTTCAGTAAGCATGGAGGAAAACAGTTAAAAAAGCTACTATCGCAAACACAGTCACACAAGACATTCATGGGAAAAATAGAGTAACAGTAATGCATTATTTGAATTTTATCATAGAAAGGGGTGCGCAGTCAAAATTTCTGTTAGCAGCATGCTGGAAACAAAAAAGCACCAAGATAGCATTTTCTGTTAATGATAGCTGCTGCTTCTGGCGTTTTGATGGAACAACCGTTAATTAGCAACACACTTTCATCACGAAGAAAACATTAGAAAAGTCCACGTAAACTTCGAATAAAAGTGCCACTAAACCATATTTAGCAAACTGTCACAATGTACTTTCATATTTTTCACACTCGTTCCCAGTTACCTAAAGTTTCCCTGACACTTTTTTCATAGTTTTAAAACAGTAAATACGGAAGCTGCAGCATCAGAATTAAATCATGATACTATGGGAAGCATTCAATTCCACCCAAACGATATAAGACTGATTTATAACTATCAAATTTTATAAAGCCAATTCTAATATGTTCAGCTTAGGCTACGCATGCCTAACTATATCATAAGAAATCAACCTCATAGAAGTCTTTAATAGTGAACAAACCTGTTACATGTTGTCGCCTATGTTGATCGATTCTATGAAGCATAAACCCGGATTGCGAATTGTGCTTTCATAGGAGTACATGTTACATGATCTGCAGTACACAGCAGCTTAACTTTTTCTCGCTTAATGATCTGGATTGTTTTTTTTTTTCATCCAGACTGTTGCGAGTTAGAATACAATATTAGTGTCATGTAATACCCTTCGAGACATGAAACTTGTACAACGATATATGTTGCCACCTTCATCGGATGACTTCTCACTTTTATAATATTCTTCTTCGTTATGACGGAACAGGGTCGAAAATATCAGTGCATTCATGCATCACATTTTCATTTTCACTACTTCCAAATACTATCAATCCAAATTTCGAGATAATTTGTCCAAATATGGCCCACCGTTCCTTCAAATCTCCGTTACTTTCCAATCTTATTCTCAGCCTCCTGAATTATCGACTCAGACTTGGCCACATCTTCGTTCCTGTCTTCGCTACTTATCTCCTCAGAGGAGGATGGAAAATCTGCGAGAAAAAAATCGGTTAGCACAAAACTAGAAAATAACCGAGCGGAAAGTAACTGTGCCATAAAAGAAACTATATTTCCGAAAATTGTGTCCCAATCTAGAAAGACATGCAAATTAACTTTGTGCGAAAATTAAAGTGAACAGGACAAAAAGGCTTGTGAGATATCAAATCCAATTTCAGGATTTATATTTGTTTCCCAAAAATATCAAGAACAAAAAGCATGCAACAGGTGTCCTTTGTCATGAATCCCACAAGCTAAGCATGGGCGTAGGCTACGTGTGGCTGCTAAGCAAAGCGATCTTCAATCTAAGACAAATAAATTGAAATATAAACAAATTAAAATTACCCGATGTTGAGCTGATCATATTATTCAAAGCAGAATTTTGCGTAGGATTTTTAGGATGTACGGTGTTCAGATGTACTTCGAGTTTACTATAGCTACTGCACTTGAAGGCACAAACATCGCAGCTGTACATAATTTCAGCAGAACATAGTTTTACCTGATGATCCGTCACCAAATGTTGCAACATATTGAACGCATATTGCTAGAAAAAAACTTGGTTTCTAAGTAAAATTAGTCAGCTAAAAAATACCAAGTTAAGAAAGATATCAACTTAAAATTAACGGTATGCAATACTGAATAGTGAGGAATAAGTATTACCTTCCCGCAATGTTTGCATCGCCCTCCATCTTCTTTTTTCTGTGCTTTAGTTAAGAGATCAGAAGTAACGAGGCCATGTGCCATGACAAGATGTCGTTCTAATCCTTCATATGTCCAGAATCTATCACGACAACGACTACATGCCAACGGTGCACCCTGCAACAGACAATTTTCATATTTCTTAATTAACAATGAAATAAATATTCGACGGATAAAATAGTAAGATGTGAAGAATTAAAGATAAATTTCCGTGAAGAAAAATGGATGAATGGTTGTCTATATAAACTGGAAACAAAAAATGTTCACGAAATGTTTGCTTGCCTGCTGCATATCTGCTGATGTTTTTCCGCGCATCTGTTTGTGAAAGAGTTGCAAATGTGTCAGATATCGATCCCTATCCTGAACATTCTGATCACAAATCTCACAAACATTGTTATGTCCAGACGATACAACTCCACCTAGTTGCGCACGAGATGCTGGGATCTGCAAGCAAATTAAAACGGATAATTCCGGATAATATCACTTACGTTATAAATTAAAAGAACACATCACTATAATTCTACACATGCAAATGAGCGCTGATTACAAGGTCTGTTTTAGGAAGACCGGATCTAACATGTTTAACTAAATTTCTTCCCACTTATAATTTGCACCAATTTCCATGAGAAATTCTTTGTTAAACTAATTTTATAAGCATAGAAAAATCCCTATCATCTTTATCTTTAAAAAGAAAGATAAGAAAATAATGTTAGACCAATTAGTTAGTACGGCGGACAAAGACTATGAGGATTACTTTGCACCAAAAATATCTCCGGATGATATTAGCATACTGCGGCGGCCCTCTCAAATACAACCTAAGCAACCGAACTTTGTCAATACTATAGTATTTGTATAATAAAAATATATGAAATTAATCATAATTTGCACATTTTCTGGAAGCACAAAAAAAATACTTGTGATGGCGCCCTAATACGTCCAGCAAGTGAAGCAGCTGCATGCTGAGCCACAGTTGGTCCACGTATTCCAGCAGCTACTCCACGCTGGGCGAATAAAGACAATCCCGGAGTACGCATTCCACTAACAGCAGCACGCTGCAGTTGTTGCTGCATCGCTGAAAAAAATGTATAATAATTAACAAAATAAGGTAAACAGGGTTTTGAGAATATATTCAAAACTGAATATATTTGAACAAAGCACACAGAATACCTTATATAAATCTCTGATTTCTAACACGGATCGAAAGTCACATATTTTGTTTTCTTACCTGCTAAAAGACTCGGATTTCCTATTAAGGAAGACATCTTTGCCTGCTGCTGGTGATGAGCTACCGCTTGTGCCGCCCTTATCCTTTGCTATAAATTCTTTTAAATTATCCGACACAACAAATAACGTAGAAAGAGCACCACCAATTTTTGCTTTTATTTAAAAAAATTTATTCCAAAGAACTGAATATTTCTTAGCCTGAATTGAAGAGAAAACATATTTAATACCCATAAAGATTTGTATATAAATTACATAATGAACATGCCAAATAAAACTAAATAAACTTGATCCAAAAGAATACCTGCTGTAAGAGAAGCGCAGCTTGTTGTTGCTGCGCTGCTAAAAGTGCTGAATTAGTCACAGCAGTCTGGCTACGTCGTTGCTGCAACTGTTGTTGCTGCTGTTGTGCCAGCTGAGCACGTTGCAGTTTCTGGAATTCAAAAAAGAATGGTTGTTGGAGATAGAATTCTGTCAACAACCATAAAACAATGCGCAAACAAAAAAATTATAAACAAACCTCTACTTGTTGCCGCTGCGCCACCTGTTGTTGCTGCAATATTGTTGGATCAACAGGAGGCTTATCCCATAACCAATGATTGATGGCACTGACATCTTGCGGATGCTTTGGTGCCATTATAAGACTGGAATAAAAGCAGGAGATGAGGTATGAAATCCACTGGAACCACCATAGACAGTATAAATCTGCTAGCTCATTCACACAAACAGGACGAAAACGACGATTTTTTCCATGTCTGTACCACAAAAATTTAGGATATTTGTAAGATAAACCACAATTCGTCCTCACCGAACTCTATTTAGATCTCTTCGACACATTTTCAGATGCTGGTCTCGTTGTCCTTTGTACATGAAGTCTTCATTACAACATGGACAAGGGTTTCGAGGAATAGCTTCTTCCTTTCCAGCTACTAGATCGTGCTCCCTTCTGAAATTCGTTTGGATTAGAATTAAATTTCATGATTATAACACTCAAAGAAGTAATGGAGAGACCACTTATGCCACAAGATGACAAAAAACATACAGATAATGCTGCGAAATCATATTTTCATTAGTAAAGAATTCAGGACATAGTGCACATTGGTATTTCCTTCCATCAAAATGTGGTGTCTGCCGATGTACAGAAAGAATGATTCGTGATTCAGTCCGAAAGTTGCATAGCTGACAAGTATACTGTTTCAATTTATACGGTTCATTTTTCTTCCGCAAGGCTTCCCACACTGGCTTAAGTTGTTGTGCAACCTCAAACACGACTTATATTTTCAAGAAATTTTTAATTAAAGACACAAATGCCTTTACAAGTTATATAAAATAGCAAATGAAGAAATCTACTCCAAAGCAAGAACCAGTAGTAAGCAAAATGCAGGATCCTGCACTTCAGCATTAAAATTTTGTTCATTATTAAAATTATAGAATGAATGTGATAAACCTGTTTATATGTTTCCATATTTTTCGGAGTTTCAGGCAAATTTTTTGCATGGACGATGTCAGAATATGTAGATTCCTGAACAAGATCTTGCCCAATGTCCATCAACAACTTAGTCATATGAGGCGCAGGATGCCCCAATTTTAATAAATGTCGTTCGCGTTTTTCAGCTTCGGAAAGTTTTGGCCTTTCGTCGCCGAACATCCGCCCAATTACTTTTGACAAAGGTGCATCGGGATCATGTTCAATCAGCAAATCCACAACCTGTAAAGAATTCATCAGTCTTTGTATGCTAAATATTATCATAATTTTAAACTCATTATGGCATTTCAATTTTATTCCAAAGCAGATTCTCCTACAACATCTTATCAAGTTCTTAAAAAATTAATTTACGGGTTCTAAATAAATGCTAAAAAATACCTGCGATGGTGGAAAACTAATGGTGTTTGGCAATACCAACTGCTTGTCCAATATAAGTTTCCGAACTGACAGAGGTTCACGTTGCACTTGGATATTAATAGCTCCTAATAATGCATCCAACACTTTCCTGCATATAAAATGCAGCAAGGATAAGATGCTAAAGACATAAAATCAATTCATGATCTCCGACTTCCATTGGATACCTTTAAACCAAACAAACCACTACATTTAAAGACCTGTTGCGTCATGTATTGCCCCCTAATTACTCTTACTTGCTATAAAACCACCAAAGATTTTCGTGTGATCAACGATGAAAGACTTGCCAAGTAACACTTTTCTGAATAAACAACAGGCATAAAGCAACCAAAACACTAAATATTTTTTTCCCTATAAAACTTTATTCGCTCTATATAATTTGCTCACCTTTCAACATTGGCATTCTTATCAATTGCATCTTTGACATAGGCTTCTAATTTATTCAATAAAGCTTCACCGCTTGTCAACTCTGGTTTCTTTTCCCCTGCCTAAAATACAATTCATCTAAAATCTTCAAAATACAATTTTTTTCTTTACTTACAATATGGTACACAGTTCTGAGAAATACGCAACTGAACCTGAGTGTCTGGATCATCTGGCACTGGTGACTTTGTTTTTTTCTTTTTCACAGGTGGCTCACCACTTGAATCAGGTCCTTCATGGTCATCATCTAACTCTGAAAAAAAAAAATGCATTGTATATATAGGAAAATTTTAATGCGGTAAAAGTCCAATAATCTGTTTTTCAAAAACATGGTCCAAATAAACCTGATAAAGACTGTGAAAATTCAAAGCACACATTCGAATCAACAACCTTTAGCAATGGGGAAGTGATTAAAACATTGCTAATTTACTAACCAAAGGGGAACAATTGGACTTTTACCAGCAAAATCAAATATGAATTGGAACAATATAAGACTCGAACCTCGAAATATCTTAATAAAAATATTTTCAACTAAATATTAATCACTTAAAATGAAAATATTGCAAAAATTGTCATCGCTTACCTATGCATTCCACAACCATCGATTTATTAGTACTATCTTCGGTGAATATCGGCATCTTACCATTCCCATTATTATCACAAGATTCGTCTTCAATTAAAATGTCTTTTTCCATCGTATCCAACCCACTAGAGTCTGCGAAATATCTACCGATTATCTCAGGAAGCAATCAATGTTTTTTTAATTACCCTACAGTAATCTGATTTGAAATAAAGATGCAAGATTAACTTCTGAAAGTAACTTATAATATATTAGGCAGTATAAAATACAAGAAACCTGCGAAATGCCATATTTTAGAACAATCTTAAAAACGCACCTTTTTTATCAATGTCGTCCACATAACCATTTTCACCGGAGAAAGTCGGCTTGGTGCAATCTCCATTACTCTTATCATCCCGATGCTGCTCTTCATCGTCTACAACCTTTTCACTAGCCCAGATACCGTTTCTGATCGCTTCTATTGATTTATCCACACAATTTTTCGAAGTTTTATCTAAGATCGAATTGTTCTGAGCCTTCTTCAGCGACGTCTGCAGGATAGAAATGGACGAGATTATCACAGCTATCTAATCTAAAGGTCTTACGTGACCATGAGAAACAAATCAAAAAAAGATCGCTGTAGAATATCCTGCACACTTAAAATTGTAAGTGAAATAACAACGATAGCCTGATACACTTGGCCCTACAAACGATAAGTCCCATTTCACTTCTTGCGAGCAAACAGATTCAGCATACGTTGGAGTTATAACCCGAGACGTTGATTGCGAAATGTTTCGAAAATTTAAAAACTACTTGCAAAGCAGAATCCACGTCAACACCAACTGACGCATGCACTTCGTTCTCAATTACTTTACAATTATTAGTCGTTGACTCATCATCCAAAGTAATCATTTTGTAACATACACCGCGAAAAGAGAACGGTTGAAGCAGCACCAACTGAAAACAAACGTCTTGTATTTGAAATATACCAGTCAGAAAGAGGGAACAATACCCGCTACAGGTAACATCCTGGGAAGTACACTGGAAGAAACAGACGAAGAACTTCTGACCAACAAATGCAAGCAAGTCTTTCAACTCCAGCGAATTTTTATCGAAATACATTCGAAACGAATCAGTCATAACTAATACTGAAAGTGAGTACTGCATTCAATAGTTGAAATGTCATCAATATCCAATTCATTTCCAAAAAATAATCCCAAGTCCAGCATTAGCTTAACAGTACAGTAATAGTACCATCGAAGTGTTGTCCCACTATGGAAATCGGGTGAACGAAGGATATCCCACATTCCTTGAAACCGAAAACCAAGACCCATCCGAAATATTCATGTGTTGGTCATTCAACACTATTCCTGCATAAGGCAGAAGTGCGATACACAAGTCAGCTTCATTTCTCAGTTCACTTCCACGCTGCTAATAATAAGTGACTAATTAAAATCCTAAAGGTGCTTCAGTAGGTTCCCAATATAATGCTTCAAGAGAAAGCAGTTTGATATGGAATGGATATCTCGACTTCATCTCAACTAGAGAGAATAATCTCACAAGTTATCTGAAACAGATAGGAAATTTCATGAACAAAATACTGTCAATACAGTCAAGTGTGGAGGTATACAAAAAGTGGCTTAATAGCGACAGAACCGAAAAATAAAAACTGTTAACGAGGGCCCCGGTCGATGTTCGCAATCCGTTCGGTTTCGGTGGGTTACAGCCGCCGCGTGCGAATTCAAGCAGTGCCGCATGCGAGAGCGTCCACATATCGATCGATCCCAGAGCAACATATACCCCCACACCACAATATATATTGACGGTGGCGGTCCACGTCAACTCAACACCAAAACCCACTCGACAGCATTTGAAGAGCAGGGACCTGACCGTGATTAACTGGAAATCCCCAGTATGTGGGAGAAAGAGGAAAGAAATCAATCCCTTTACGAAGAATCTACGTAATCTAAGCACTTATTGAAGATGAGAAGAGAAACTCTGAAAATAGTCTTTGAAATTCTCAGGATTGCAGCCAATGGACCAACTTACCCAACATGTTTTAAACTGAATTCGTGGACTACAAAACTAAAATGGATGGAACGGATATTTTACATCGAAATAAAACCTATACAAATCTTTTCCCAAATCTAAATGTACTGGTATTTGCAACCACGGTATTCCCGAAGAATAAAACAGAATCACTTGAGGAAAACGAACACTGGGAAGCTCACTCTCAGCATCGTAACCTTTATTTCAGATCTGTCAACAATCTTTTGTATCACAATTTTCAGTGTAACCATTAATACAGTATACACTTTCTTAACACTTCTTCAGCCCATCTACTTTTCCTGTTGGCACATATTTAGTTTTCTATGGCAAGGGTTAAATCATGTCTAAATATTTGAGATCTAATTTCAAAAGCTATAGCACTTCCAGGATATTTTTGAATTAAAACTGAACCCAACGCCTCAGCCTAACCCATTATTCCAATGAAGATGCTCATTTTTCAGGAAAAAAAGGAACTATATATCAGCAAACTCTCCTAGCCGTTTAGAAATCCCAACGATACATTACTAAAGTTCAAATGACAGTTCAGACTGACCAACCAATAAAGTTAATGCTAGGTTTAATTTCAAGGAAGAATAAAAAGGCCAAAATTTTCCATCAATTAAGATGCAGGTTTCACTTGCCCTTAAATAATGCTGAAAAGTTCACTCACTGTACCCAAAAAGTGGTAGTACAGGGCCCAATCGCTGGAAGGAGGATAGTAATAATTTTGAAAGGATTTGTCAGTGTTACACAATGCACAGACCCATAAGCTCTGTTGGCGCTCACTGATAATATTCAAATTTCAAATATGAGAATGATACTTTTGGAACTAAAAAACTACAACAGACTTGCCCGAAGTAATAGAAAGAGTAAGGATGCAATTTTGCTTTCCGATTAATCTCTGACCGATATTTCGTCCTTCTAATACATACACATACACATATACATAACACAAACACACACACACATGCACACACATACATAAATGCACTCCCAAACTTATAAGTTCTGTCCGTAATAAAGTTTAATATAGATCCAAACAGGGCAACCAACTTATTACTGAAATTAAATTCACAAAAGAATGCTATCTTCCGGTTTCGTTCGTCACTAAAATTGTCACTTATATATTCTCATGATATATTTCCTCACTTTAAATTTAATGAATTGAATAACAGTCAGGAAATGTTACAAAAGCTGAATGAAAAACAAACTATTGTGATATACACTTACGCCCCTCACTTCCCACCTTATACGTACGTCATGCCATCCCTCTCTACAATACAGCCACCTTTGTAGTATACACAGCGCTTCCCTGAGCGGAAAAATCCAGCATACGCTGACATATATGAACATACGAAAATACCGATACCGACCGACCGACCGACCGACCGACCGACCGACCGACCAAAAGACACTCACAGACAACGCCTGAACAATTGATGTCGGTCGTGCCACACCATTTCTTCGTTTGTCTTCGTCGCGTCGTCGCGCGACAGCAAGATATCAGTATTGCAGTAGTTGTGAACGTCACTGGATAGCAAAGGAAACACGGCCGATACTGCCGTTGATGGTCTCTGGTCGTGTTCTACAGTTTCTGTCTTACTGCTCGCTCCAAGTTGTGGCCAAAGGTGGAGAGTCGTATAAAAAGACTGTGCTTTGCTTTAATATTGTACATGCTGAGAATGTCGAAAAATTCAGAGCTTAAACATTGGAGAAAACAAATTCAGTTAAAATTTAGTTCAAAAGGCTGCCAAAGGCAATTCTGCAGGCAAGTTGTATTTGGTATTGAAACTGTACAGGAGACCACTTACCTCCTAAATTGAGCACTGGAACATTGCGCAAGTGTCCCACAAGCCAAAATTGTAGTCACGCTATGGCTCAGAGTTTAAAGTCACTTCATGGCGCACAACAATGAGAAAATGAGTGAGGACAAATTGTAGAATGGGAAATATTGATCCATTCATCCCTAATGACATACATTGTTGTTTCTACTATGAGCTATATTAATACAAGTTGATAGTACAGTTGACGGAATCTTCTGAGGATACGCTATCCTCCCAGTCATAGGTGACAGATTAGGAAAAAATTGCAAGTAAGCCATAACATTATAACTCCTTGATCCCATCTCGACATTTTTTTCGTCAAGTGGACTCAGGCTTGCAATAGCATTTGACGTCATTGTGGTGATTAATACGTTGAATGTTAGGCGGAATTTGTTCCACTGCAACATTCCAGGTGGGCCTATTCCGGAGAGCCAGAAATTTCGGACATTATTTTTTCAAAGCGTGCTTTAGAATTCCAAAAAACTGAACTCTTACCACCGTAAAACAGTTGGAAAATATCTCCGATTAGGGCAAGAATAGCTAGAAGGACCTGAATGACATACTGATATACAGCGGAATTTACATTTCTATGTAAGACAGTACAAACGGATATACGAAGATTACATAATACAAATAAAGTCCATGCAATTTGGACAGGTGAGTGTGTGCGCGTGTTTCGGAGCACGGGCGGGAATAGGAAACAGAAAGACGAGATAGTAAATCGAAAAACGGGGATTATCCATTCAAAAAGAGCAATTCTGAACAAAGGTCACCAGAAGTAACGATGACTAGAAATCAACCATAGGCGATAGTTCCTCTTTAGACTGTAATATCTAAACCAACATATTCATGCCGCCGCTGTTTTTCAGGACATAAGTCACCGCTGTTTGATCCATGCTTGTATGTCAAAATATCTTTTGGGAAACGATAAACATATGGTTTTTTTTTTACTCGAAATCAAAACTTTTTTTAAATGTTAGCGTATCATTACAACCGATTTAATAAAATCAAAACTGTATGTTGTCATGCAACATATTTCATTGAAAGCACTACGTAACCTTCCTCTATCCACAATCTTTCATATTTGCATTGTTATCATATCTTGAATAGTAATATGCAAAATTCTACAAAATTTTCACAGGGAATCAACAGATAGATAGCCTAAGTAGTGGATGAATTAAAGAGAATGGTCTGACTGTCGGATCTTATTAGGCAGATAAAGGCTGAAAGAAAGTAAACGCGCCAGTTGCAGTTGCACTACAAACAAAAGCACTGTGTAACGTAATCGGGCAGTTATGGACAAGGCAAAAATCATTTAGTTATATACAAATAGCATGTTTTAGATGTTGAGAGCGTAACGTTTCTTCAAATGGGATCACTCATAGCAATTTTAACAATCTATTCTAATCTGCTTGCAGGCAGTGGTAAAATGCAAATACTATCGTTCAAATAAAATATATCGATGGATGCTGATGATATTCATATATTGAATAATCAAGCAATATCAAAAACGTACAGAGAATTTCGGCCAAGCAAGGTTACAATTTTTAGAAGTTTCCTTGTAGTAAGTTACGATAACCGAGATAGTGCAATTTAAAACTTGATGGCCTCTTTTAGAAATAATGAGCTGCTAAAATAGAACAACCGACTTGTAAAATTAAGAAAACATTGTGAGCATCTCATCAGTTTTAGTTCTTCGCATGCAAATTGTGGTTTTATTTATTAAGCAAATATATAATGCATGTTCGGTCCAGTGATTCCATTTGCCGCTTCAAATAAGCGATGACCTGCTTCAAAGGGTACGAAATTTCGTTTATATTTCAGTATATAGTTCGTGAGTCAATTCCAATGATTTCCACATTTTGAACTTTATGATATTACATTACATGATTTACAGCGGTTCTAACAGGAATTGGCAATTGGCCAAATTTTCCGTACACACAAAGCTTGGAATTTAGTCGGGGGTGGTGCTGGTATCTACGACGTTCTGGTGGTGTCGCTTGATTATCGTTGGAGTGATGGATTTGGTATCAAGGCGCCACACGTCCACCTGCCGAGGCAATGGGCGCTTTAGAACGGTTAGAAAAATCATGAAATATAGGAGAATAGAGAGTTCGCATTTGTCAAGTTCGCCTAGTTCTTCACTACCATACAAGCTCTCTCGAATTTCGGATGGCAAATCTAAGCAACTTATGAACGGTGAGCTCTTTCATCCTTGATTTTCACTGTCGGATGCTACATCATCATTCGGCTGAATTACTCCACGAATAATATAAGATCGTTCTATCGTGCGAGGTTTTTTTTGTTCTCTATATTTCAACTATATTCATTGTTTTAAAGCAGGTCAACAATACCACTAATACACGGAGTTTTTGGTGAAAGTGTGTTCACATTTGTTCACCGTATAAGTCTGTATCGTAGTAACGTGCTTCAGGCAGCTCGTATTGCTTAATTCCTTATTCAGTGATCAAACTCGAACATTATTTTAGTTTCCATATTCCGACAACATGCTGTTATTTATTTCATGCTTTTTTTTACAGGCGCATTATCTCCTTTACATACAAGGCGTGGACCCTTGAATGACTTGGTGACGCCAACGCCTGATTTTGCCGGATTTGATTATTTGCATGAATGTCCCAAACTGCTAACTGTAACAAGTGATGAAGACTGCCAGAATGTTGCTGTTGCCTTCTCTGACTTGGTCTTTTCTTACGTTTATAAAGTTAATAGATACTGCTGTTGCTGTTAGTGTAAATTTGACGTAAAGTTTCTCTTTCAACGCATATCTACATATGGCGCCTGTACAAAATAGAAATACCCAAAATTTTCGTACTCTTCGGTTATAGCTATAGACAGTTCCAGGATAAATTGCAAATAGAGCTGGAGCAAATATTGGTACACACGACGGATCATCAAAAAAAAATTTATGGAGAGATTACCTTCCTTACTACCGGCGATTATCCTTCTGATGATATCTCGAACAGGCTGATGCCTGTATATGAGCTTAAGACTTCGGAACCTGTACCTAGTTGCAGTAAAGAAATTGAGAGAGAACCGTGAGTTAGTTTTTAAGATTTATTTATCACTGACCGCAATCAGGAATAATTCAAATTTTCCAAATTTCTTCCTTCTCATTAATATTTAGTGAAGATATTTGTTTTTGTAGTAGTCAATGTCAATTTTTTTTGGTTCAGAATAGTGGAAGATCCATGCACGGACAGCGAAATAAATTGGCTGGATGAAGGTTTTGATGTTTGGCCTCCAATCAATTTGTCTCAGAAATTCTGGGTTTTCGCTCGCGAATATCTCGATCCTCTAGATGAAGAATACTTGCAGCAGTGGTGGTCAAGTATTGTTCAGCTTATTCATAATAATGACATTTCAAAGTCGCGGTCTCAGTTATGTCCAGGTAATTATGTTCATATATCGTAATTTCTAGATGATTACGAAAATGAAAGTGTTTAATGTTTGAGTCAGTTTGGTCTTCTTCAGATGGGTTCGAATCTGGAATATTGAAGATGCCGAGATAATCTTGCTTCAGTTAAGCTTAGGCATAAAGCAGATAGTTCATTTTTAGATCCGAGACAGTAACGAATTCTTGACTGAGATCCCGGAATTTATCTCTATTGTTCTATTCAGGGTCTTTTTAGCTTGCTAGAGAGAGAGTATGCATGGATGCAAAAGTGGAAAAATTTATTATTAATGCGGGAGATAAAGTTGGTAGGTGGAATAAATCTATTGTCGGTCAAGTATTTCGAAACTCTTTAAGCAGATGTGATTTTAATGCATTACATTGTAGTGACAGCGAAAAAAAGTACTCGTTGTGAGACCACACTGCACGATCGTAAAACCAGCTCTCTACCGTCTTTTTCGAAATGGGGTACCCCGACATCGCTTCACCGGAACAGGTAATGATAATGATACTTTTTAGATTTTAAGATTCTTTATTTTTTTGCCATTAATCCATTTGGTTTTAATTAGTTTCCTGTCATTACTCATACTTACTTCAGGTCTTTCATATCCAGTAAAAATAGCTCCTCACACGTCAGGTTGAAGCTGCTTAACAAAGATTCGTCACCACCTCCGAATAAAATAGCAAGGTAGTCGATATAAATGAATTTCTTGGGAAGAAAAATTTAAATTTCTTATATTTTTGATGTTTATCACTCTCTTTTAGATATGAAAAAAGATCGTTATCACAGTCGTCAGGGAAAACTATATCATTGCTCGATGATCTCGTCAGCGCGTATGTCGGTGGAAAAAATGGTAGCTTAGATAATCATTACAATGGCGTGCTTCTTAGATTGGAAAAAAATAATTGTCCTCCTAGTAAGACTTCTGTTTATAATTTGGGACAATTATTGTAAAGTAGAGCTAAGATCCTGGATTTACACATGTTCGTTATGGGAAACTGCTAGTGATATGAAATTTTTTCATATCATTAGTAAGATGATATGAAAAGATTATTATTTACATAAATTCTAGGCAGTTCTCATATTGGTTTCCATTATTCTTGAAAAAGTTTTGCATTTTTAGAAAAAGATTCGGTTTCATTGGTTCAGCTTGAGGATAACGATTGGATAATAAAAAATGAAAAAGCTAGAAGGGAGGACGTATTTCGAATCGCTCATTCAAATGGCCTCACGTCTGAAGAGAACGGTGCCGCCAATTGTGGAGATACATTAGAAATGTTAAATTATGCTATAGCCGATTACCTCAGTAGATTTGGTAATTATGTGAATTGTTTACCAGTTTTTTAGAAATTCAAATAGTGTCAGATTTAATAAATGAACTCTTCAACTTTCAGATAAAGAACCTGATGCAAGCAAATGCAACAGAGTGGTTCAAGAAATCATCGGGCCGGGAAATGTAGAAGAATTAATTAGGAAATGTGGATCCGGTAAAAAACATGTTGAGGTTAGCTGTTGTGGTTCACTTATTCAAGAGATGCCATCATTGGCTAAAATTTGCCTTATTTATTAGATCTTATAATGCTTCATTATTTTGGTTTATTTGCGATCATAATATTTTCTAATACAGGATGAAGTATCTGTAGCCTTCAAGAAATTACAAGCGGAGCTTACTGAAAAAGAGATGCCATGGCGTAGTGTAGTTACTAAAATTTGGCATCGCTTGCTCGCGGAATATTTGCGAATGAAGTTAGAACAAGCACTTGACAAAGTAGATCAAGAAGTTAGTTTTTCCATCTATTAAAGATATTTTTTAATTTTTTCAAATCTTTCAAAGATTTTTACCGCTGTAGCATCCGATGAGCTACTGTGCGTGATTGTTTGCTACTTAATTTAGTCCTCATTTTATAGTATTCTTTAAAGTTCGAGATATTCAGCATATATAACGGATATTCTGCAGATGTTTGAAGTATATGATAAATATTATTCGGAATTTCCAAGACGGCGACCAATGAACGAACAGGAAAGAGAAGAATGTCGTTGTGTTTTGCAACGAAGAAGTGATGTAGCCCAGGCGTACTATGGCAATGAGTATGCTGCTTTAAGCAAATGGAAACGTAAGCGTTAGGTTTAACTATGATTTTCAACATAAAGTTTATTGTTGGTTTAAGAAAGAGGCTGCTACTGTACTCTCGTCTTTATTACTTTCAATTTTATTGTACCCTCGAGCCACAGCTGTTTCAACTTTGTCTCTCTTTTCTTTGATTTTTATCAGTGTTGAAACTGCCATTTGAAAGGGCAAAGTTTGCTGTGGTTTTTATACCTCAGTACTCGTTGTAGGTAAGTTTTATTTATTTATTTTCTTTTTCTATATGGTGCATAAGTAACTAGCGGTATCATTTACGGTAGTTTATTTGAAATTCGAGGTCTTGTTCCTTATTTCAGTAAGTTCTGATGATGTCCTTGCGTAATAGGAAAATTTTCATTTCTACAGAGATAAGTATGGCACAGAGGAAGGGTAACTCAAAAAAAAAAATGTTTCAAAAGACAAGTCTGTGATATTCTTTTCTTTCTTCCTTGTTTATACCTAGTCCTTATGTTTCGTTAACTGTTCTTTCTGTTAAGTGATTGACTGTAGTTAGGTTTATGAGTTTTTCGTTCTTTTTTTGTATTACTTCTGGGATATTTTTGAAACTTCTCTGCAGTAAATAAACGAAATTTTCAGATAAGGTAGGTTGTGTCAAGGATCTGAAATTCGATATATGTCCGAAAAACAAGGGTTTGGATAATAATAGCGAATATAAAATGTGTCTTATAAAGAACGTCGACTTCTGCAGTAAGTATGAAATTGGAAGCTAGAGAAAGTTTTGTTCAGGCTTGTTCCTCTGAAACTGAAAAATGTTAGGTGGACAGATTTGTCGTAGTGATCAATTTAGAGTCTAGCGGGAACCACTATGTTCGAAGGATACGGTCATTACTTGGAATATTTCGAATTCAAGCAAAATGGTCTTGGAAACTTGTAAGGGCTTCTGAAAATAGGTAGTCAGAAATGATCTTTTGGTATTACGATCTCAATAAATAGCTCCTAAATGAAACAACGATACAATTCAAATTTGAAATTGTATTCGAATTGTATTTTCGTGATACATGCTGATGTAGTTAACACCGTAAACGAGCTTAACTTATCCTATGAACTTTCTGCAAGTTGACCGATAATTTTTCAACTTATTTTTATTGCTTCGATATGCTATGCATAATGGATGCATTTTTCTTCAAAGTTTGAGAATTTTTTGTCGTTTTCGAATCATTGTGCAGAAAATATGAAAAGGCGTAGGTATGAGTCGGAATAAGGAAATTTCAATGTAGTTTGGTAGTTTGAGAAGACAAAAAGAACACGATAGTGGAATTGCAGATGTTGTATTCCAAATGTTGTATTGCACATGTTGTATCTATATCCAGGATTGTAAATTATGCATTATTGTTTGCCCATTTAAGTGCTCGGTGCGAGCTTTGTAATTATATTTATCACATTTTTTGGTGAATATGATGGTTTATACCATTTTCAGTTGTTTACTGTTTTACCGTCTCATTGTGATATATTTTTGTGCTTAATCATTTTTGGACTTTTAAATTGTACAGTTAATCTTAACAAAATTATACCTTATAAAGATTTCTGGAGTGCATTTGGACATAAAGACTTCAAAATAAAATTTTTGTGTAGTATGAGTTTTATTGGAAGTCTTACTTTTTATATAGTAAAAATGCCTTCAGAACTTTAGCTGAAATTGATCTAGCTTTGAGTGAAAATATAAACATTAGCGGCAGAGCACTGGTGAATTTCCTGAGAGGCACTCGGATTATTAGCTTTCAGGTACAGGCTTTACAAATTTCTTGTGGACTGAATATGAGATTTACGAAAAATTGTGATCTGGTAGATTTTTTGTGTTTAACCATATTTGCTGTTTTCAGACAGTATTTAATCTTCTAATTAAATACTAGAGGGAATGTGGTGGTTTTGATTTGTGTTGAAGTTAAAATTGAGTTGTGGGTTGGAGTGCTAATTCAATGAAGAATGCATGTATGGTGTTGTGGAACCGTAGTTAAGTGCAGTAGTTGTTTCATTTCGTTTCTAGAATATTTCTGATTTTTCAGCTTTAATGCTAATTAAAGGCAAAAAAACTGTAAAACTGTATGCAAAAGCTTTGAATATGATGTAGAGTAGCAGAAAGGGGCATTTTAATATCAAGTTTGCTCAAAGTTCGATTTTGAGACCGGTCAGAATTTTCACTTATGCTTTCATTTTATGAATTTGCATTGAATATTTGTTTGGATAAATACGTCTTTGAAAGAAAATTTGTTGGTTTGATTGCTGATTTCTATTTGCGAATTTGGCGTCCGAACATCCGTCTGCTTTCGCCTTGGGAGGTGTCGATTTCGTTTTTCTAGAGGGAACTATATGGAAAAAGCTTGAATGCCGAGGTTTTCCTTGCTGGACCATGGCAAGGTTCGGAATATTTTCTACAAGTACCACCAAGCGATTCCATCGACTTTCTTTGGTCCTGAAATTATATTCAATTCACATGTACAGTATTGATATCTGAGTCAAATGGTGCTAGTACTGTACATTTATGGTAATCTTGACCCAAAATATTAAAATATAGCTTCCTTAGCCATGAATACGGATTCACTATGTGTTTTAAAATAATAGGCCTATAAAGACCTCAAGATGTTTAGACATAATCATCCGTTCGTGCATATCAGTAGTACTGCGTTTTTGTATTTGTCGCAGAAAAAGAAATATCAGTGCTCCCATAAACGAGAAGCATACAAATCCGATGGTCATATTGCGTAGATCCATTATATAATCAGTCATCCGGTGCATGTCATCTGCTACCTTAAAATTAAATTTAAATTCTCTTTTATATTCGGGCTCAACACTTCTTCAACTTCAATTGGTTCAAACCGATTCAAAGCATACCTGATAATGTAACATGAATTCTTAACCTGATCTTGCACACTTTAAGTACTTTAATAGAGCTCAAATTGATGATCTTTAAATTTTCTAGTTGAATTTTCGACAAAAAGAACATAAAAGTTATTTATCAGCTTTCAAACATATTTTATTCTTTTTATCTTCGTTCTAGCATCATTGTAAACCATTCAAACTGAAATTTTGAACAATTTAAAGGTTTTAGCTGACAGATAAATTTGTTTTTGAATGCATAAATATATAATATGCTACAGATGTGACTAATTTCTTAAAAAGAAATTATTTGAAAATTGCGAACGATTTTTTAAGAATAATTGTGCATACCTGTATCAATTTCGGTACACCTTTGAAGAAAATATAATTCATATCAGGATAAATGACATCCATTTGATGACGATCTGTTTTCTCATCACCGTTCATTTCGAATCGTTCTCCCTTATAAAAAGTAGTTGTTATAGGAATCTATACGTACGACAAAACATGAAGCAGCAATGAAAAGAAAGAGCTAGCGCTATGTAGCAATGATAACGTAATAATGATAATAAGGTGATAATATCAGCATTATGTAGCCTAAACATTTCACAATAATATGATGCATAATAGCTGTTCATGTGGTATGCAAGTAAATATGAATTGGCTGATGTACCTAAAAGGCATTGATATCTTGTAGGTGGACAGGTACTGCGGGCAGATGACGAAATTTCAGTTTTCTGAGAGCTACCTAATGATAAGTGGCATTCTCAGTGCTATTTTTTTGCATATATGCAAAGGTGAGATTATTTTTCCTCTTTGTCTTTCTATTTTCAAAATAAATGGAATTATAGAGCATTGGTAATGCATATTTGTTAGGCCACTAAACTCCTTAACTTATTCAAGTATGCTTGATGATTAAATATTTAAAAAAAAAATTCTGAAGCGGAAGCAACAGAAGTGGCTAAAAATTTTTGTGCAGTTAGATTATTTTATGGGCTCAGCATTAAGATCTGCACAATTCGTAAAGAATGAAGAGGAGGAAATGATGAAAGGACTTCAAGGTTATTTTATCTGTCGAGCAGAAAAATGAAGAAGAGGTGGAAAGTCAGACCATTATCTATTAGCTTTGGAAATGAAATGTTAAAGCTTTAAAAATTTTCGTTTAAAAAATGTACGGTCAAAATTTTACAAAAAAGCGTGAAACAAACCGTTTTGTTCTTCGTTATACAAAGATGAAACACTCAGAGACTTTCGTTATCAATGATTATCGATCAGACCCGCAAATCAGATAAGACGAATGCATTCCTTATTATAAACAATTTTTTTTTGCTGTATCACAGTTCGTTGAATCTGATTGTAAATTTAATAATAAACAAAATAATATTCTTACCTACCACAAAAAACTATGTTGAAATAATTTCAGTATGCAAATGGGTCGAGCGATTAATCCTGGAATTGTTTTTCGTTATTAGTTTTTTATCAAAAATAGCAATCAAATTTGCTCCGATTACCAATTATTTCATTTTTAATCGGGGAAACTATCAAAAGAACACAGCACAGGATTAATTTTGAAATATATTTAGCCAATTTTTAAGATTTTTGCACTAGTTCTCAATATATTTTCCACTTGCTAGCAACCACTGAAAAATCAGTTTTATGATTAATTTCTTACTCTGACAACTAAAGTTTGATAAATTCAAGATTCGCTAAAAGTACAAATTGTTTCATCTTTATTTTCAAATAAACTCCAAATAACTGATTCAATACGCAATTATTCAGAAGATGAAGGGATTAGATTAACTGATGGAGATAAGCTACTGTTAACAAATTAACGAAATTATCAAACAATAATAGGGAAGGGATTATTCTTTCACCTAAAATGTCTAAATTACTATCTTCGGAGGTAAAGTTATGCGTATCTCGAACTGTGTTGTAATAAATTATATTCCTTCCAAGATTTTCTTCTTCTCTCCAAGATACATTTCGAATTAACCACTGCTGAAAGCAAATTAAGTACTGATTAAAGCAACGTTTGTAGAATGATGCAAATAAAACAATGGAAATAAAAAAGTAACAAACAGCGCTTTTGAAAATCAATGGTTGAAAAAAGTTGAATCAGATTTGAAGAAATTAAGAAAAATCCTGCTTAAGGAAATCTGAAAATAATAACTAACTATTATCAGAAACATTTGCTAACATCAATTACAATAATCATAGAATATGGAGTATAATGGTGAATATTCGTACAATTTTGAAAAGTTCAATTTTACGTATCAAAAAGTTATGCATCTTTACTTGATAAAATCAAAGCGATGCATTAACAAATTCTTCCAATTTATGGAACAAAATAACAAAAATAGTTTAATAAAAAATAAGAGAAAAAATGCCGTTGTTGAAATTCCAAAGAACAGTTCAACTGATTGGTTTGAATGTCAAATATATATCAAAAGCAAAATGGATAAAACTTCGATTTTTCCAAAGCTATTTGGAGGCAAGTCATAAGTCACAATTAATCTGTAAAGTATGTGAACTTCACGATTTTAGTATCAAGAGGCTTTGCAGATCTTTAGAACTATTAAAATTGATAGCCGAGATTTATTTAGATTTTTGAATTCCACTGCACCGATCATTTTTATTGCAAGAAAGTTGGACGAAAATGCAAAATTGATATCACTTTTTAAAATGGTTTTGTAGAAAAGAAGTAAGTTGTCTCGCTTATTCTGTCGTCATGAAGCGGTGTCACATTTTCTCCATAATAATTTGAAAACTGGTGGGAATGATGAAGAAAATTTTTCAATCTTGCTAGCATAGTAGAAAAATTAACTATACACTCATGGGCAATTTTTTTCTGTTTTGAAATGCATGGAAAAATGCGGAATAATTTTAATTTCATATTATTCGAATCTCTCTAAAGGATCACAAGTTATTTTTTTCCTTTTCGTGTATTCTTACACCTATTTTAAAAAGACATTTTGTCTTCACCCGTTACTTTTCTGTTTTTCTAAGTTTTATTACTATTTTTTTATTCTTTCAAATTGGTTAATAGAGTCATTTTCACGCTAAGCTAGCTGAAAATATGATTTCAACACTACTGGAATTGGTGTTTCCCGACAAATCAAACAATGATTAAATCATCAAAAAACCTAATTTTCAACCATAATCTACAAAATTTTAGATAATAAATAGAAGGCTTGATTTCGATATTTTACGTCTCAATGATAAATATTTAATAAGTGAGTCAGTTAGTTGCTAGATCCAGACAATGAGCGAAATAAAGAAAGAAATTGTCTTAAGAAAAATTCAAACTCGTTTGAGTTATCTACCATGATTGACTAACTTAATTTAGATTTGAAGTAAAGCAGTCAATTTTCTTTTTTTTTAAAAGTGCAGTCAATCAAAAAATAATGAATGCTGTAAATACTGAAGTTTTGCTACAGCCATAAAAATCCTTGCATTGTTCGACAGATTTAAAAGTACGTTTTCTTTTTAGTTTCTATCTTAAAAATTTTTTGAGTATTGTCAAAAAGATTTGGAAATTTTTGAAATGAAAATTTTTTCTATGCGTTCACGAAATCATTTTATTTTTGAAAGTCTTCGTGTGATGCAAAAATGAAGATACGTAAGAATAGGAAAAAATGTACTCAGTTTATCTTTTCTTTCTGAAATTTCTACATGCTGGGCAATTTGTATTTATTTGTTCACATTTCACTTGTCAATGCTGATTGAATGTCGAAAACATTTTAAATCAAACCTAACGCAGTAGTTGTCAACACAAACTTAGTATTTTGATTTTAGTTGAGAAAAATTCTATCGCCAGTTAAATGTGTTAAAATTTAGATCTTATTATAAAAAATTAACTTTCAGAATCTGTGTAAAAATAATTCTTTTGCTTTAAATCTTTAGTTTTCAACATATTCATAGGTATAATTTATAATTTTATTTTTATTGTTTAAGGTTTAAATGAATGTGAGACCAATATGACTTGCATAAGAATGAACTATCTTTTCAAATAGTCTAGAAACCGATTTAAAATCACATAAAAAATATTGATTCATTAATATTTTTATTTGGTCATATATTATGCAAAGTCCTACATCTTTGATTTTTTTTAATAAGAGTAAGTGAGTTCTACCTTATTCTTTATTAAAAAGGCACAACTTTCTCAATCCATTACTCATATTGGTCTATATATCGATTCTTCTTACTTTCATTTTTCATAGTATTGGAATACTAAATAGTACATTCGGACATGATTTCTTTTGTCTTCAGAATAAACTAATTCCGGAAATGGATTTCGAATTTTGAACAAATACTGATTGTTGAATTTACAAGATATTGCATTAGGAAGTAGATTTAAATTTCTGAATGATTTGTTTCGTGCGCTGAAAGCGCCAATATTTGTTACGTATTATGCAGTAACTTTAAACGATAATTAAATTTCAAAAGATGCAATATGAAATACTTCAACTTCCCCATTCATTAAGTTTATATATTTAAAATTCAAAAGAATGGCAAATTTTGGGAAATGTTTTCTTTGTTAGGCTTAATAGTGTAGTTTTCTTACTTTTGCAAGCCTTTTAATTAGATTCAATTTTGTCGTTCCTCCATTTTTTCTCCTTCGTCGTATTTCTCCCCCCGGCAGTATTTCATATTATGGTTCATTTCATTCAAAATTTAAACGAGAATGTCCAAAGATTGCTTAAAGTGATACAAGCTTTCTTAGCAACAATTTTTTTCAGTTTTGATGATGATTGGTGTTGGGTGCGCCATTCTTAACTTCATCTAAATAGGAGCAGTTATAACATTTAAGGTGTAGAGAAAGTTTGAAAGAGGAATAAAAAATTTTAAATATTGGACTTCAAATTTCGGACTATATAAACATATTCTTCTAATCCTAAATTATCTAATATTTATTTTATATAACAGTCCCTTGTAGTTGTTAAAATTGAATAAAGGCCAATGATTTAAGTAATGAATCTGAGACTTTGAGAAAATTAACCGGATCGATTTAGGTGAATTCATCTGTCACTTCATTTGGCTTCACACAATCATAGACAGATCCAAAATGGAATAATTATTGGACTTTTCAATTCAGCTATCATTATTGCGCATATTCATCATAACGGCAGATTACAGTTAGATACCTAGTGGTCAGTTTTTAGAAAAATTTTCTTCTATTGTTTGATCTAGCCAAATGTTTTATACTTCTATTATTTTAATAATTTTATTCTCGATTTGTTCATGGTATTACCGTTTTCTTTTCATTGCAGTATCAATTATATCTACGAATAATAAAGTCTTAAATATGAGCAATGTAATCTTCAAACATGAAATGAAATTGTCAGTCATATGACTCCATAAAAATCTTTTAACATTGATATGACACATCTAAAAAACATACATAAAAAGTTCTAGTTTTTATTCAAAATAACAACTTCCTAGCAGAT